TTAGACAATGTGGATAACATTTCTCAATCTTACTGAAAAAGATAGGATTATTGCGAAAATGCGAATCGCTTCAGAAATATTACGAAAACAATCGTTGGATTGTCATAAATATGACTGATTGGCCGGTCGGAGTGCCCAAAACCACATCTTTCTGATTGGTTGACCACTTGTCATTTTAAATGTCAATCCCACCTCGCGCGCAACTTATTAATAAAATATACACACATCAAAAGTGGCTAGGGATCAAGCATTTTTATGCGGATTTCTTGAGATTGAGATGTGGCTTTGTAATAAATTTATGATTTTATAAATTTATATGGATCCTTTTTGGTGCATTTCATAATTTGAATCAGGAACTGTGAATCAAATTCGAGTAAAAGATGAAAATCAGCTGTCAATATTTTCCCTATAAAAACATACAACGCATTGAAGACATTATTAGTGCTACTGTTTCCCTACTACTGATTAAAACCAACGTTATTATGGAGCGGCGACGTCATTTAAGCAGGGAAGAAATGCTCAGAGCCGTGGGAATGATAGAAGCTGGTTCCCGGCAACGTACTGTGGCTTTAGCTCTGAATACAAGTCAGAGTGTTATCAGTCGACTTTGGACACGATACCGAAGCACTGGTACCGTGGCTGAGCGCCATGGAGGACGGTATCGCTGCACCACACGGAGACAAGACCGATACATTCAAATCTTAACTCGAAGAGCTCCAACAATAACCGCCATGATGTTAGCCGTGAGGCTTCATCACTCTTCAGGGAACTTAATTAGCGACCAAACAGTCAGAAACCGCTTGCATGAAGTGAACCTTCATTCCCGAAGACCGCTACGGGTACCACCTATAGCAATGCACAATCGTAGGATTCGATATCAATGGGCTCTTGAACACAGAAATTGGGCAGAAGAACAATGGCGTTTCGTGTGCTTTTCTGATGAGTCTCGTTTTGGTATGAGACCGGATACAAGACGTATACGACACTGGAGAACCCCTGGACGCCAACAGCGATTAAAATCCTGCCAGGAAGTCCATCCTTATAGTGGTGGAACCATCATGGTATGGGCGGGTATTTGGATCGGCGGAAGAACTGAGTTGATTTGGATCAGAGGCAACCTCAACGCTCAAATTTATGCTGAGACGATTGTATCAGACGTCATCGTTCCTCTACAAGTGCAAATCGGTCCCTTATTTCAGTTAATGCATGATAATGCACGACCGCACACCGCAAGAGTTGTAAGACAGACTCTCGCCGCAGCTAACATCAATGTCCTGCCCTGGCCTGCTCAGTCGCCAGACTTGAACCCGATTGAGCATGCATGGGATATGCTACAGAGAAGAGCTCTGCCGAATATGGAGGGTATCCAGCCGCAAGAAGACCTTTTTTTGTTGTTGCAACGAACATGGGCGGCCATTCCACAGCGTGATTTGGATGAACTCATTTTGAGTATGCCAAACCGATGTTCTTGTGTTGTTAGTGTTCGCGGTAGAAATACGGATTATTAATTGTTTAAGTTACCCAATAAAATTTTAGAGAAAACTGTTATTTCAGTCTTTTTTTCGAAGTTTTGTGTTAGTGGTTCAAATGTCAAAAATCCCTTTATTAGGAAAATGGCAAATTTCTTTATTAATGCAAAGGTGACTTGGTTTATCGTTACTGTGACAAACGAAAACACTTTATTTGATGAATCCTTAAAGAAAATTTTAATTAATATCAATCAGGAGAAAAGTTATTGCAAAAATATATGTTGATCCCTAGACACTTTTGATGTGTGTATTTGTGATTATGTTTTTGTTAGCGAATAAGCAGTTCGTTGTTATTTTATTTAATATGTATAAGAGTGTCGTCGGTACCTGAGAACAGTGCGAAAATATGAAAAGGTGGAATACATACGGAATCGAAAACTAATTTTGCGGTTAAATCCAATAACAAATATTCGACGTAGAACTAAAATAAATACACTAATAGACAGAACGGAACTACTAAATTCGAATGGACTGAAGAATGAATAAATTGTTTGATTGCTTTAATAGAAGAATTACATTACATTAGTTCAATAGAACTTTTCGACTGTACTTAAACAACCAAAAACACAACAACGGCAAAGAACTCCAAAACGATACGACATCATGAGTGTAGGTGCGTAAAAAATCTGATTATGAAAAGACAACATCGTACCTTTTCTGTTTTTCAAGTACCTTCAACTTATGTTGTCGAATCTGGCATGATTGTCTAAATCTAAAATTTGACAGCAGTGCATCCTTGTCATTCTCTACACAGAATGAAAAGGAGAGACTGATGTGAAATTTATTTTTAAGTTTAGAAATCATACCAGAATCGACAACAATGAGTATTATGATATTATTCTGCATGCACCTATACCTTAAACAGAAATATGTAATAAAACTAAAACAATATATTTCACAACTTGTGTAAGTCCTGTTTAATAAAAAAAATGTCTCTAAACAGGATTTTTTGTACGCCCCATAATTTATCAAGCCTTTAATAGACGAGAGCAGGTACATTTAATTGATCTCCAAGTTACAATTACAAGTGGCAGTTTAAAAGCCGTTGTCATTTCTAACCTTTTAATAATGAGACTCAAAGTTATAGGGTAAAACTAAGAACCAATCAGAATGAGAGCTGACCAGCGAGCAAAATCAAGCCAATCAGAGTAAAAGTTGTTCAATTTTACTTACGCAACTAGCTTTATCGCAAATATCCTATCATTTTTTAGTAAGATTGAGAAATTAATGTCATCGTCATTGTCTAATTATCCACGTTTTAGCAAATTCCGTAGGATTTCCGCGAAATTTCGATTTATAAAATCATCCTAGGACATATACATCCAGACTGACATCTGTAGGGCTGTTCGCTAACGGTTTTTGACAAATAGAAGTGATTATCACCGAGCTATGTACTGATCCACTACTGCTTTATTATAACGCCGTAAAGATACTTTTGATATGCAATTTTCACTTTAGTTACACACTATATGTTAAAATAATAAAAAAGTTATCGAATAGGCCAACTGGACGTAGTGGAATTTTACCTAGTAAGATTTTCTTTTCCTTTATGATTTAGATATCTATTTATGATCGACCGCGTGACAGTCAGTGGTATCAGGCTGCGCATCTCAATTCCCCCAATCAAGTTTAATTGGCTGATTAGGAGCAGCAGTGGTTTGCCGCTCGCTGTATCTAGGCCCACAGTTTGTCCACGTGAGTGGCATTGACATCACACCCTTTGGCCTTAATAATTATGTTTGCAGATCGCTCCTTTGAGTATCGCTTACATCATAATTACAGCTATAAATAACCCTGACAGGATAACAGACGAAATTATGAACAACATTGTTATGAATTAAGAAAATTTCAACTACCTACATAAATTCCACTGAGTGGATTTTTTCCTATTAGTAATTTACTTTAGATTTTTGACAACATTGTTTTTTACTTATCACACACACAGTATTGAAAATTTAATAAGCAAATGAAATACAAAATGTGAAATGGTTCTGCCGTAAACTGCAGATATAAATGGGCGCTGAATACACCTGACGTCATTAACCTACATTATGTTTACTAATCGTTTTGGACGTTATTTTAATTACTTTGCAACTACAAAATGTGTCGTATTTTAGTGGTAATGTAATAGCCTATGTTTGCTGATTATACCTACTTACCGCTAGCAGAGGTAGGATTCGGCGGGTTATCTACTCGAACTGGAGGCTTACTCTATTTCAACTCTGATTCTATTTCATTTCGAAAATTCGTTCGTCCGAAAATAGTTTGACATTTAAATTCTCTAAGCCTACTCTAATTCACAAAACTTTTGAACTAAAAGTTGAATTTGACAGATAATTGTTCGAAATTTTAACCTCAAATTGACGAAATGAAAAGTGTTACCTTTTCATTTTCGTTTTGGGATTTGTGTTTAAATTAAACCTAAAATTACTACTAGAGTATTTTTAATTAAGGCTGCTTAGCGTGAGGAACATTTTTTAGTATGAAAAAATTTACAAATAAAACTAATTTTTGTTTAATAATAGCATTGCCAATACTTCAAAGTGTTACACGACAAATTTAGGTTGACATACATTCGATTGCATCAACTCTACAAATTAGTCGGCTAACACTGTCAAAGGAGGTTGTTTTAATGTAATCAAAAATGTTGTCATAAAGTAATATTGTTTTGAAGTAAAAACGTTATCTTAAAAGTGTAGGCAAAAAGAAGTCACAAACATAACTCATTCCATTCGTTCACGATAATTGTCTGTGATTCCGAACTTTATGTACGTGTTCGAAGATGAAATTTCGTTTAAAATTCGTTCGTTGCCGAAATTTCGTTTCGGAGAAAGAGAGTAGAGCTCCTGAAACCCGTTTGGGACCACCTTACAAAATACCTTACTTATAATGACGCCAAATAATATTTTATAGTGATGTGTTACTGAGTTGAAGGATGTCAGATCAAAGCTCCATGGGGTAGGGATAGGTTAGGCGAGTGATACTCTCTGGTATCGCAAGCGCTTATTAGGCAATGTTTATCCCGCTTACTATAACGACCTCCGTGGTCGAGTGCTTTGTATGGCGGGTTTCAAGGTGTCGCCTTCTCGAAGAGGTCCCAGGTTCGAATCCCGATGGGAGAAAATGTTTGTGAGATATATACATCAATATATATTCTTTCCGTGACCCTAGTATCCCATAACACAAGCCTACATACAGTGGTTACTTTGCGATTAGGCTAATTGGTGTGAGTGTTGTTAAAATAAATATTTAATTATTTATGAAGCAGGAGATATACACCCCGAAAAACTTCTTGAGCAATGTCCATAGACAAGGAAAACTGCGCAGCAGCAAATTTTTCATACAAAAACGTCTAATGTGCAAGTTTAAGTGTGTGTGATTTTGTTCCCGAAGTTTGCCGCTACTTAAACGTCGTGTATTACGTTTTTTGGGTAAAAAGGTTTTAATGTATCGTATTCTATGTTGTTGCAGGCATACGAAGTGCAGAGCGGTTACGCAGGATGCCGATCGCGCCGCGCGGCCCTCCGCCTGCTTCGACACCGCCTTACCACCACCAGCTACCCCGCAGGAGACCCACACCGACCCTCAAGTGTCCTTCTAGAATATAACGTTTAACTTTTATACGCCTCTTTTATACCGACCTCTAAGTATAAGTACGCACAGTGTTAGTGTTAAGTGTCGCGCTCTAGTGTGAGTGTATATGTGCGTCGATGGTGCGGCCGACATGGGAAAATCCTCGGCGAGAACACATGGCCAAGGTAAGTGATGCCCCAATGTCGAATGTCTTACGGTCACCTGTCCTCAAGGCTACGTAATATGCTACACTTAGTGGGCTACCACGACACCATAACCTTGCCGTTTTAATAATTAATATTGATTTGTAATTCAATTTTGCCTCAAGTTTAACTTGCCAATATGCATCGGTTACGTTGGGTTTATGTGTAATCGGGAAATAATTCTCGTTGTCCATTTCTTCTTAAAGCTTTTAATAACTATCGGTTCATCCATTTGATTTACGTATGCACCCCGTGAAAGAAATACAATTAAGCACAAACAATGTAAAAATATAATTAAGCAAAAGTAGCGAGTTGCGGAAAAATATTTGCATTAATAAGTCATTGTTTATTAGCACGAGATTGGCAAACCGAGTATCAGCGGAATGTGTAATATACCAAAAACCGAATATGCAATTTTTATGTCATTAAACCGATATTTTAAATTAATATAGTCGAAAATAATTGTATTATATTGTAATAGCTGTTGGAAGTAATAAATAAACATAATATTAGTAATATTCTGAAGAAAAGGTTTTACGATAAGTTTAACGTCGCTCGTATTACCTAGCATCCTATTCTAAAATTGATTCTAGTTTTCATCAAACCCATACGTTTGGGGTATCTATGGATAATACTTAAAAATGAAATTGAGGTTCAGCATTGCCAGTTTTTTTTGCCAAGTCGGGATTTAAGAACTTTTTGAGTGAAAAAAGCGGGATTCTATCATTAAAAGCGGGACATAGAAAAAAACGTATATAATCAAAACATTTTTAAATATTTATCTTTTTATTTGCGTTCATATTACGTTTACGTAACAATACAAAATGTATTCGAGCAATTTGTCACATTGCCTAAACAAAACAGCCACCTATACCAGCAACTAAAAGATAATACAAGCAGTTAGAAATTTGAACAAACTTGTATTGAGTACCAATCCCAAAACTTCTCGTTTCAATAATAATAGTTATGCAATGCTATAAAAATATATAATAAAGTATCGGACAGTATTAAGCATCTACCTTACAACAGGTTCAGAATAGTATTGAAAAATTGGCTATTAGATAAATGCTTTTATTCTGTAGAGGAATTTTTTAAACATAAGTTTTGAATATTGAAATGGATGTCGATTTTGGATTAATTTTATTTTGAATATATATCATAATATATTCACATGAATATTACTTCTGAATTGACATTAGGAATCGTAATTTATATTGAATTGAATAATACTCTAAAATTATCTTAATTAAATAATGGTGTTGATTCTGGCGTAATTCTCTAAACTTAAATCTAAATTTAACATCAGTCTCTCCTTTTCATTCTGTATAGAGAATGACAAGAATACACTCTTGTCAAATTAAAGTTTAGGTTTAGAGAATCATGCCGGAATCGACACCAGCTTTGTTATTAAAGGTATATCACAGTAAATTAACATAAAATATATTATTTTGAACTGACATTGGGAATTGTAATTGATATTGGCATATATTTGAATTTAAATTATAATGATAAAATACTTATATAATAATACTGTAATATGACTGTTATGTTTTAATATGTTAGATTTTTTTGTATGCTATTAATATGGCTCAATAGGTTTAAGATTCTTAGCTTTTAACACATGCTTTATATCCAAAGACCTTTATAGATAGTTACCTAGTAAAAATATCCATAGAAAATGTATTTTAATAAAAATATAAAAATATATCGTTAAATAGTTGAGTCTTATTCGTCTTCTGGATGATACAAATAAAAAAAACAATATACAAAATCAAAAAAGTTTTGTTTATATTGCGCGAGATAAACTTCCAGAGTGGTAAAAAGTGTGTGTGCCCCCCTGTAACTTCTAAAATAAGATAATGATAGAACTAAAAAATATATATGATGTAAATTACCATGCAAACTTCCAGCAACGAAAATGAGATCTAGTAAGTAGTTTTTTTAAAACGTCATAAATCGTAAACAGCAATTTATCTTTCATTCAATCAATTCAAATATAAAAAAAATTAAAAAAATATTTCATAATCATAAACCTTATGCAAACGGTGAACCATTATTTTCTAACACTAACAAGAACTTTTATATTATGTTACTTGCTACTACGGGACCCTCCATGGGCGAGTTCGACTCGCACTTGGCCGCTTTTTTAAATTTTTTTTTTATGTTGCTCTGATCACAATACAATTTCGACAATCGTGTCTCGTCTCGAGTCTCGAACCGACAGTCTCGGGACTTTCAGACACGAGACGTCCTGCCCCGTAGCATGATTAACAAAACGCGATATGATAAAGCGATTTATCGACACTCAACTGTCAAACTTCATTGTAGTTTGTAGGGGGACTGGGACCCAAACCCTAGTTATGATATGGTATGAATCACTTAGTATTTTACTAGAGACTATAAGGAAATAAATAAAGAATAGTTGAGCACTTAAAATTCTATTTTTATATTTTATCGGTTGTTATCGAATACATTTTTGTGAGAGAGCTTTGGAATTACATAATTTAGTAACCTTATTGCCGTCCCGCCCTCGAGAAGCACAGCAAAGGCACTGGAACTGAACAATATCAATATATGGGGTTGACTTTGCACGAACTAGCGCTGGCGCTAAACGTTTGGTTTCTTTATTTATCGTAAAGTTCGTAGCCAACTTCTTTGTTCCCTTTACCATACTACGTAGCATCGGGGCCACACTTACCTTACAAGTATTTACATTATCGACTTGTTAGCGCATATTCGTTATTTCTTATAGGCAAGCTCCGGTTCTATCGGTCGTTCACAGTCCGTGCGTCGCTCGGTCTGTCTACCATCAGCCCGAGTCGCATGAACCTTAACAGCAATTCCATCACCAACGCGAACTAAGTCGCGGGCACAGCTAGTGATAGATTAAGTCGTAATATAGTTTTATCCCTAGGGATATAATTAAACCGTAACAATTAGTTATACGAAAGGGATTCATTGCTATCTTAATTGGTATTTAATATAATACTTGTTGAAAAAATAGTGGTACAATTATATTACTTCTTTAAGTTTGGTGAAATGTGTATAGTGCCGACTGTGGCAGAGGCGGCTTGGTGGGAGCTTCGTTGTGTTTGTGTACCCCGTATGTCGCTTGCTGCTCCTATATTTTGTTTTGAGTCTGCTCTTCACCTGTTCATCGGGTTTGGGGCGGCGAGTTCCTTAAGGGACCTCAAGCCGGGAATGGGCGAGTGCCTCTAGAAGTATTCCAGGCAGATATAATGACTATAATTCTTCTGAAACCTACTAGACCACTCAAGCCTGAAGGGGTCGGCTCAACTAGAGGGCGTCTCTGAGTAGTTAGCCGTTGTCATGAGGGGCGGGGTATAACTTCAAACTCGGTGACGCTGATCGGTCATCATGGACCAACAGCATACACTAAAAAACTGGGGCAGCGAGCAACGTGCGTGCCGGGTTCACAAACGCAATGAAGCCCCCACCACCGCCTTCGCCGCAGACCTGCTCTATACTACTACAATTATTTCATTAAAATTTATCAAGTACTATTATAATTATATTACTAAACTTGTAAACCGTATCAACTTTGTTCACCACAAAAAGTAAATCTAAGTTTATATTAGACTTGCAACGAATATTCGGTTACTATTCGGTATTCGGCATATTCGGCTGCTTTTATTATATTCGGCCGAATACCGAATATCTACATATTATTCGGCTGAATACCGAATACTTAAATAATATATTTTATCAGAGAAATAATTGGTAAAATGAAAAATTAAAATCGATTGATTACGTATATACCTATTCATATTTTCATTTCTGTTATATATAATCATTTAAGTAGTGATTGGTACATAATATCATGTTCTGAATTGGGAAAATGGAGGATTCTATGTATTTGAATTATTGTGTTAATCAAAATTTAGAAGGGTAAGGTTCTCATTTCTTTTATAATCATTTATTAAGTAGTCATTGGTACATAAAACAGGTACATAATTTAATCATTTTCTGTATTGAACAAGTTAAGATTTTTTCTATGCATTTGAATTATTTTCTTAATCAAAATTTAGAAGGGGAAGGTTATGGTGCAGAAAGACTAACTTTTCTGCATTTTTTGGAAGTAGTTTACTTCTTTTTTTCTCGTAGACCATCCCAGCTTCAGAGAAAAGGCGCTCTGGATTAACACTACTTCCTGGAGCCGACAAATATTTTGCTGCAATCTTAATTTTGATTAAGATTATTAACACGGAAATTCAAATTTCCTTGCTTGCCACCATGTATACGGGTTGTCATGACGTGATATATTACTAATACCTATTTAAGAAAAGATCAGAACAACAGCGGGCGCGCGGGCGATGAGTACATTAGAACAAAACAAAGGAGCGCGAAACAATCACGTGTGTACAAGTTTTTGGCGCTAAAACCCAGCCGAATACTTTTGCCTAATATTCGGCTATTCGGTCAGGGGCCTCGCCGAATATTCGGTATACTGCCGAATATACTATTCGTTGCAAGTCTAGTTTATATGTTGCCGTCTCGTTCACCTAAATATTATTATTGGGAGAGCAAAAGAGACTGCTTGTCACAGCGATATAACAGCTGCTTTTGTCTACTGTCGTCGCGTTGCCATTACTTACAACTACGGATTCAGGATTTATTGTTTTGCATAGAGTATCTTGTTTTTTTAATATATCAATGCGGATGATTCGAACGATCTATCCAGAAAAACTCGAGTCTAAATTCAACAATAATTAATGCTGAGAGCGATGTAACAGAAGGTTAATTGGTTAAAAATATTGCCTGCATAAACTGAGGGCAAGATACTATTGTCAGCGAGCGCAACCAACTATGCACTTAATTTTTACAATCATTTTTATCAAAAATATTTCATAGCAAATTTTAAAACCAAATGAACTAAAATGCTTTAAATTGACAAACATTGATTTGGTGACTTTCAAAAAACCAAAACCTCTACATAACCTTCCGCGCGCGACTATAAACGAAGTACCTACCTGTTAAAATCCCACCCTGACTGAGTCCCCTACCCCGTGGAGCCTTACTCTCCTCTACCCCGAGGAACCTTACTCACCGACAGAAAAATAAGAAACACCACCAAAAGGTAGTGTTATTTTACTGTGGTCTTCTGTAAGGTGGAGGTTACTTCCCTAGACGGACGCGGGACGGATTCGAGCAGAGCCGATGAATTTTATCAAATTCGGACTTTAGCAAAATCAATTCTTTAAACTAAGAAAAATTTATTGCATTGTAATAATTTCACTAACTTAAATAAACCTTAATATCAATGAAAATATGCTCTCTTCCAAAAAGTATCTTTATCTTAAAGAAGTATTTAGAAAATACGTATCTTGTATCTGTTATCTAAATACTTGACTTCCTGGTATCTTGTATTTTAGATACTTTTTGTACGGTATCTTTTATAGGCATATAACTATTATACCCCTAGGGATATAACCTGTGGATATAACTATATTACGCCGATATCGATCATACTGCGACATATATATATATTTTATGTTTGCCTAACGTTGTTAGTAGTGGCTTTATCTATTATTTAAAGCAGGCTACTGACATCCCTGCCGAAGGGACAAGGCAAGCAGGGGCAATTTTCTAAATTGACACTGCGGCGGGGGCGCGAGACCACCCTTGGTTCCTAGATAGTCCCGGCCGCCCTGCACGTTGCCGCGTGTGTAGCGCGAGCGGGGCAATTTCTCAATCATCAATCAATCAAAAGTTGGTTGATAATTATCACACGGAGCGCACTTATGTCTCTCAAGATTGAGGCAGATCATATTGAGCATGAAGTTTGGTCTCGAGTGATAGAAGTATATAAAGACTGGCCTAACATGTAGGATAAATAAACACAAACATTATTTATTTAAAATACATTTCTTTCTTACCTACCGATGTTTTGATTTTTTGATTACTTTATTAATACTAGGACCATCATCCCCGAACACTGAATAGCAGGCATGTGTGTAGCGACTAGCCGACATTGCCCGACCGCCGTGCGCCCTAGATTTGCCCTGCTCCAGGGATGTCAGTAGCCCGCTTAATGTAACAAACGTTCCCTCGAGAGTTTTAAGATTCGAGTTTTCACTTCTGTCGGCACTCCCGGAGTTCCAGTGCTTTTTTTTTTACAATTTTCGTCTGTTTTGATTCTATCCTCTTATAGCAAATCATCAATCACGAAATAACATTATGATACTTATACTGAAGTAGATTAAGATAGCAATGTTGACCTCGTAAAGCCTTATTAATATTAAGGCTGTATCATCAAAGTTTTGCAAACTGGTCGGTAAAGACTGGTAACTGGTAAAGAAGTCATTTAGCAAAGACAAACACTCAGGACTGCTTCTATGGTTAAATATTATGTGTATTATATAAATCACTTTTTATTAATTGTTATCTAGTGTGATGAAAGTAAAATCAAAGATATTTACGTTCATCTCATAGCTCTCTACTAACAAAAGTGTTATTTTCATTGATATTGAAAGAAGATAGCTAAATCAAAAGATACTAACATCTGTAGCTACTATTCGCATCCGATGTTCGTCGTATTTTTCAGTAGAAACTCGGAAACTACACAACGGCAACACCGTATTGTAAAGATTGAATAGTGCGCGCGCATGTCTGTCTGGTGGCGCTAGTGTGTAGAGCACCCGATAGTCGGCCCCGGTGCGGGTCGGAGTGCGCGTGCTGACGCGTGTCGCGTGTGCGGTGAACGCGGTCGACAAGCAGCAGGCGGAGTGGCCGCCCGGAGCGGCGCGCGGCATGGGGCGGCGGCAGCGGTAGCGGCGCGGATGTGCGCTCGCTCCGAAGCGGTGGAGCTCGAGGTGCTCGGCGCTGAGGGCGGCGAGGCCAGGCCGCCGCCGCGCCCCCTGCGTCTCTCGCTCCTCGAGCTGCTCGGCAAGCTGGTGCGACGCGAGCCCACCCAACCGCACCGCCGCGCCAGGCATAATCATCGGTTTCGCACCTTCGTATCGTGCGGTCGGTACATATTGATTCTTCACGAATCATCTAATATCAAAGAAGCCAATTACGAAATCTTGTTGCGTGCTATGTTTTCCATTGCGTTGTGTTTTGAGTTTTGCAGACGTTTTCTATCATAGTTTGCAAGGCCACACTCGACCATATCCATAATATAGAACGTGCTGGTTGGTTCCGTACACAAAACATTATCAGGCCATTGAGAGTATCCTGATAGGGATATGTATGCATCATATTTGACCAAGGTCGGAAACGGCGCGCCCCCGTACGGTCAACGGCCGCGACGAGACGGCGGCGCTCGCTTCAGCGCTTTGCGAATCGCTTATGACCCGCCGCACTGTTGTTATTGATTACCCGCCCATGTTACATTACAATAAATTGAATTAAAGCTGAATTTGTTCCATTCTGTTTACTTTTAACCGAGAAAACATAACCAGACAGTATTTTTATACCGTGTAAATATAACTCTTACTGAGTATTCTGCGGTGCCAATAATCTTGTTAAAACTCAGGGGATGTTTTACTGACACCTGTAAGTATTTACATACGTACGGAACATTCACGTCTATGCTTTAAGAATAAATTAATCATATTCAATTTTAACCATTCAAAATCATTAATTTATGTAAATTGCCATTTATTTATCATAATTATGACAAGACTATTTGCAGTAGCTACACGCTACAAACATTGTATTGTACAAAGATGACCCTATTTTTCCTAAGCTTTAACCAGTAACCACTACTTCCAAGAATAACAAAAACAAAACAAAACAATTAAGTTGAGAAGTACCTACACTTTAAACACTCCAAAAAAATATTTATCATCAAGTGACTTAAATCATAAACATTATGCCAATCTACCCAAATTACGTATTTTGTGCAGACAGAATCTGTATGAAGTTATAGGATAGGAAAAGAAGTCGTTCTCGTAAGCCGGAGATCGATCGGCGTCCCCAAGGCGCCGCCGGTGACGGAACTCACATCCTTATTATATTACCAGCTACGTAGTGAATTCTTGTATAGGGAAAAACATATCTTGTATAGGGAAAAACATAATTTGTAACCTTATTTCATTATAAATATTGTATGAATTAAGAATTCAAATACTCCATAACTAAATTTTACTTGTTGCTCTGCTGATTTATTACTTATAAGTCATTTAACGTCCTTATGAAAATTTTACTTGTTGATCTTCCGATTAGATACTTAGACGATTTTTTTCCAGTATAATCTAGATTAGTACCGCAAACAGCAATTAAATTACATTGTTATCGCCTTTAAGTAAGTTCCGATTACAAGAGTAATGTTTGTGGCAATATCACTATGTTTAATTTCATAGTTTAATGTTTTTGTTAAATGCAGTTTATGGCTAATATATGTATCTTCTCCACTGTTATATTTAACTTATAGTCTTTATAAAAGGAAAGATTCTTAAAATGTCAAACCGCTAACGATAGCGTGGATCCGCAATTCAGGAAAATACACACGTGTATGTGATACATATCAGACTCTTGTCGACCAAGCATTGAGTACTGCTGTACTGTAAACCAACAGCCAGTATAAATAAATAAGTGAAGCCGTATCTAAGGAAAATTTTCGCTCTTCATCATTAGTGGTTGATTCATCAATGAAACACAATAGCTTTAATTATCGAACGGCAATGATGCAAAATCACGTTTCATTTCGTTCCAGTTACTTATACCTAAGCCTTTTTGTACAACCATTAGCAACTAACCATAATATCACAAGAATGAAGCCTTACATTACTAAATCTATAATATGCAATAAAACTACTTACATATCTACTGATTATACTTATAAACATTAAAAAATATTTAATATCTATTCCGCTTTCTTTAGTATCGAAAATAAATACGGTATTAATGCTTCGTTTGAATGGTACCGTACGTTCAGTTCGAATGTTTCTTTCACATTCAAATCTGTGTATTATATTAGAGGCTTATTTCTAACAGCTTCCTCAATAATATGGATGCAATAGGTGTACAAGTATTCACTTTAACATATTCAGTTTTAATTGTAGCATTGTAATAGGTTAAGAAATATATTCGAGAACGTGCTCCTCAACCAAGATAAGTTTTTATCCTATTTTTTCCACTCAGAGAATTAAGCCCCAAAAATCTTTCATTTTTGCTGTTTAAAGGGAAACAAAAAATATTGAAATGATCCTCATCCAACGATATTAAAAACCCTCATCTCTGAAAAAAAATATGGAAATGATGATCACCAAAAAATATTTTTTAAGGATAATTTAAATATTGGAACCTGCCATATTTACATAATTACTACTGTCCAAAATGACGATTTTCATACTCCAAACAGCTAATCGGATGTTTGAATTGTTTTCGTTGTTTACGTGGGTTTCACAATGATACGTCAACCTTGCTGCATGTGAATTTCAATTTTCATTCATCATTACTTTAGTTTGGTAATTGTAATCACAATCAAAGTTCTGACCCCGGAATCGGTTATGACCTTGATTTAAAACAAAGAGAAAAGATCGTGAGTGGACACACTCATCACCTTCATCCACCTAATGTTAAGTGGTCATCGCCCATGGATATCAGCAATGCAATCACACAGACATACCTTTCAGGGAACACTTTTAAGCCTTATAGATTTTACTATGTTGCCATGTTATAGTTCTAAGGGAATATATTTTTATTGTACCTGAAATAAAAAATCTATGGAAACGACGAACAGTTGTGAAAACCTGTTAATGTAAGCAGACTGGAGATTGACTTTTATTGTCTCTTGTTTCAGAGAATGAACGGAGAATCAAAGCTAACAACAGGGAGTACAACGCGCAGTTCCGTTATGCTGTAAGTAGTTCATGACATTATTTTCATCGATAGTAAAATTTGACTACTTAAAGTTAATGCACCGTCAAATACATAGGAAATGTGTAAAATTTTGCCAAAAGGTTATTTTTTTCTATAGGTTTTAATTAAGTATAGACATATGGATGAAACTATTTTTTGTAATATTTTTCTTGGTTCTATTAATTTATACCCAAACACTTGACTCCATGCTAAAAGGAAACAACTAGACACGGCTGACAGTGTCTAATCATGCGAAAAATTACAGCGTTTGATGATGAACAGAGTTAATGAATGAAAATATGGAGGACGAGTTTTAATGAGTGACCTCTATGACCTTGGAATGTGGACCTTCGTCCGTAAATAATGAGATATTTGACAGGTCATAGCTAATGCCTATTAAGATCCATAGGTTATTCACCATAGTGCGTAATTCAGTTAAAATTCCTTACCGTAGCGAAAATCTTCGTCCAAGTAAAATTCACAATTCCGCCTTCCGGCAATATTTGACAGATCAGTTTGAGAGTAACGATTATGATAATTATTTTTCTACAACTGAGAATACCCTTGCTTTTATTGAAACAAGTCATCGCTTACAGGGGTTTCTGTAAAATTGACAGTATTCTTGTCATAAAAACAAACTAACTGGGAACGTTAGGAAAAAGGATGATCATTTGTGTTCTTTACCAGATTAATAATATAAATTCCGCTTAATTGGTGGATTTGAAATTAGTGTATTTTATGTAAATGATGAAAAATGGAGTTCTTGGATCTCTCCTGTATTGAAGGAAAATTTTCGTCATAACCTTTTGTTTTTAAAACACTCACGTAGGACTCCTATATTAAGAGCACGGCGCGCTAAGACAAAAACATCAAATAACTTAGCTTGTTATGTAATTTTTCATATAATATGGTTGAAACTATGTATTATGTTTAGTAAAAGTTCGTATAAAGAGCTTGAAATAAGGTTATCTAAGCTCTATATAATGTATGCAAAGGATTATCAGGGTAACTTTCGCTCACTTTGTATTGAATGTGGCTTAGTATGAATCTAAATTAAGGTACTCATAAATTGTTTAAGTGTAAGTTTGAAGTGAGATAGTAAGATCATCTTAAATCAATTTTTTTAATTTATTTTAATGTTATTCATTGAAACAATCATTAAAAATGCTACGAATAACTAAATATTTGGATAAACCAAAGGACATTGGGCAAAAATGTATGGACGCTGCACCCACGTCCGCCACGGCTTAAACTACATTTGTTTGAAAGGTATAATGCCAAGATCATCTGTGCCAAAGCGCATCAAATTCCATCCCGGGGGTCTTTAGTTATTTTAGGTAAATAGGTAGTAGTACTTGTAGTAGTAGTACTATAACGAACGAACATTAATGAAACAAGGGAATTAATTTAGTTGGTTAGTTCGACCGTACATAGAGGGCTCAGGTATTATGGGAATACTTCACAAGCTGCAAGGGTGCCCCCTTATGTTATTCTGCAACGCTAAAGTAAATCCAAAAATCCCCGCATGGGTTCGGGGTTTTTCAAACTGTCTATTCGTTATAGTATATTGTCTTCTATGTAAAACGGTTTTTTAAGTACGATGTCGCTACTCGCTGCAGTTACAAAATAAGTTTTTGCTAATTATTATTCGTTTAAATATGTATACATAAGCCTGTTTGTACATTGGGCTTCCGTTTAGGAATGTAAGTCTTATCTTACTAAAAGGCGAATATTATGATTAATACATGGTCATGCCTGTTTACTAGAGACAATGGGATCTCCAGTTGACACGATCAAGATTGTATTTATTATCAGATATACTTTATTATTTGTGCAAATGACTTTCCTTCAAACTTTTCCATCGTAGCTAAAAAGAACAATTTGAATAACAAAGTCTGGACAAAAACATCAAAGATATAATTAATAATATATAAATAACCGTAAGCAATAGATATGGGTCATTCATATGCTGTTTATAATGAAGCTGTTAATACAATGTATTCCCTTGTTACAGAACAATTACATCAAGACATCAAAGTACTCGATCATAACGTTCCTGCCGCTGAACCTGCTCGAGCAGTTCCAGCGGCTGGCTAACTTCTACTTCCTGTGCTTGTTGGTGCTGCAGCTGATCCCAGCCATATCCTCGTTGACGCCAATCACCACCGCCATCCCTCTCATCGGGGTGTTAGCCCTCACTGCCGTCAAAGACGCCTACGATGACTTTGTAAGTGTAATCTGTGCCTACGCTTAACACGAACCAATATAGAATTCGATCTCAATACGCGTCAAATGCAAAAAGTTATATATGGAAGATTTTTTATTCTCGTCCCATCCGTTGTAGCGCTGTTCAAATTTCCATACAAAACTTCTTGACATTTGAAGTGTATCGAGATCGCATTCAACTATTTGAATTCTATATTGGTCCGTGCTTAGGGTACGTGCATAGATTTTGTAACATGTAATCTCACTTACTTACTATTTTATTTATTCCAAATTTGAGAAATTATCAAAAGATTTATTTATTGCTGGCTGCCTCGACCTCAGGCTTCGACAGACATTGCGACATTTTGCCATGTTAAAACGTATTGCATATTTAACTTATGCCTTTAACTATCTAACTCGGAAGATCTCTACTTTTGATTGTTAATATTTACATCAACACTACTGATTTAGGGGGTTATTTTATCTTGGGATTCATCTGCGACAATTTTCCCTGCATTTATTATTGCTGCTTCAGTTTATCCGGGTTTCTTAGTTTTTTAGAAGACTTAGGCCCGTATTACAGAATGACAACTAAGTGTTGGATCTTTACTTAAGTACAGTTAGAAAGGGATGTCGCTATGTGCTATATATAGCAACATCCCTTTCTAACTATGCTGAAGACTAGATCAGTCACTGAGAATCTTTCTATAATACGGGCCTTAGTGACTGATATTGAGCAATAGTGAAGTCACGATGTAAATATTACTTTGTAACTGTTAGTATAGTTGTTATAGTATCGTCTACAATCAAATCGAGTTACATGCACATGTATATCTAAAAGGTATCCGATGCGAGAGTTCTTATGCGTTGCCGATTGCGCTTATATACTTTTAAGTTGTAAAATATAGTATAATAGTGAATAGTATTACTTTAATGTTTATTAAATACATCTGGTTACAAAGCAATGAAATGATAAACTACAGAACTTATTAAGTTATACTAACTTAATAGTAACACATTCGATCATATGCCATGTATATATTGTACCATGCAATAGAAGTTATAATACACCTATTACTGTTATGTCACTGTAAGCACGCAGTGACTTCATTCATGTTAGCATGGAAATTGTTGTAGACTGCAAACATAAGCCATGTATTCTGTATCAAGGGCGGCGCGTCGTAATTAATGGTGTGCCGTTATAGTTCAACAATCAAGTCCTTTGTGATAGTATGAAATGAACAGAATGATTACTACTCACTATATCCTTTATGTCCTCTATTTTTAGGTATTTCGGATACTGTACAGAAAATTAACTCAAGACAGTTATTATAATTGAGACCCTTACCCGGTTGTTATGATGTCGTTAGTCCGGCTTCAAAACCATTAATTTATTTCGGGATGCAAGGAGCCGGAAGCGGTTTTCCTCTTTTTCGACTTGACAAACATCGAATTATTGTTGCAGCAACGTCACCAAAACGATTCGCAAGTGAACCATCGGCGTGCGAAGACATTGCGCAATGGCAAGCTTGTCGAGGAGAAGTGGGCGTCTGTTCAGGTGGGAGACGTCATCCGGCTGGAGAACGACCAGTTCGTGGCCGCCGACATCCTGCTGCTCAGCACCTCCGAGCCGAATGGACTCTGTTACATAGAGACCGCGGAACTCGATGGGTAAGGTTTGCTTTGCTGACTCATTGAGACCTTGAAAACACGGGCTTACGAATTAATTTGGAAACAAATTTGCCTTAATGAAAACAGAAGATATATGCATTTTAATGTATGCATTGTTATTTATAGACTAAAGTATCGAATGAGTGTACTCTTTGAACGGTCGGAAGGATTCCACAAGGGTCAATTATGTCGGTGGTGGCTTATCTATACTAATATGATAAATAATAAAGGTTTGATGTTTGGAACGAAGAAACTCGATAACTATTGGATTTCAAAATTTGTTTTTTGCTAAAGCATGTTATATTATCCATGAGTAACAAAGTTTTATTTAAGAAAAAAAATAGGTTCGTAGTTTGGATATTTAAAATTTTCTCTAGGTAATAAAATGATTATAAATCTGTCAATAACAGAGATGTTATGGAGAATATTATGTAGTTTCGTAAGCGTAACGGTTATTAGAAATTAAAATTTATTCGAAAAAGGAAGCCCCTTAGCCCGTACCAAAATTCAATTCGAATAGTTCGCGAGTGCGTAATGTAAATGTCATTATGACATTGGCAAATGCAATTGTCATTTCGCTTGGGATGCGTATATTTTTTTGATTTTTGTGTTTGTCCAATGCTTTATTTGATTTTGTGATTTAGGCTATTTTCCTACAAATAAACGAATAGATTTTCGATAAAAGACGACACTGATTTCTGCTTGTTTATGGACTCTGTTACTAATAATGGCGTAACTACCTACGTTCATCTTAATAAATTGATGGTAAATATCACCATATTATAAATGACTGTATTCTTAAGTATGAATTAAACATTGAAACAGTAAAGGTGGGTTTTGTTAACGAATATCTCTTTAACTTGCAGATATTGAGAGAGGCAAGAGTATCGTATTTCGTGTGTATGGGTTGTCAACAGTTCATCACACAAACGTTGTTATATGCTTACCAAATGCTAACAATTCGGAAGACCGTAAAAACATTTTTGTGATGGACGCGCTGCGGCACAAAAACGTAATTGCTCCAGCCACATTTTTCATTAATATTTACTTGTAAGAGAAAAGAAAAAAAAAGGAAGAAATTAATGAATAAAGTAATTATTTTTATTTTATTGTAAAATTATTTAGATGTAAAAACTGCTTACTCTCCATCTGGTCAAACATCCTTATGTTAATTGTAGGACATGTATCAACATAGTAGGGTGCTTGCTATTATTGAATATTTTTGACTGCTTTGTTTTTGTCGACATTTAGTTGTTTCAATTTAGTTAAAAAATGATATTTATGACGTAGATTACACCAAAAATCCCCTTTTTATACTTAAAATGTTTTTATTGGAGTTTACTCCTTAAGAATCGATTTGCATATATAAGGGGCCCGGTATGAGAAAAATTTGAGGAGTAAAATCTATCGATGAATGACCTCGTTACGTTTTTGGTGCGCATCCTATGTCGCGCAACTTTGACAAACAAAGATGACGGATTGACATTAATAAAAAATTTAAAATCAGAACTGAATTTAGATATTGTTTCTGATAGAGCAATGGGGACAACGAGGTATGGTACAACCATTGATGCGGTATTTTCAAGATTCGTGAACCACGTATCTACAAACGTCCATGTGTCTTATTTTAGTTACCATAAACCACTTGTCACTGTAATTAATAATGCAGACAATGTTGATTTAATTAATATTTAAAAAAAATATAATAGTCTGATAATAATAATTTATCAACATTCCTAATGATATATTTATGCACATCTGAAATTGACTATTGTAAAAAGTATAATGTAAAATATTTCGTCGATTAGTTATAATAAATGTATATGAAATGAATAAATATATATTTATATATGTATATTATTTTCATTAATTTTTTAATTTACCCTTTCATACAGGATCAATCTTATTTAAATTAAATAAACTCTTTTTGCGTCTGGTTAGACTATCGAACTTAAGGAGTAAACTCCAGTCGTGCGTCGGAGCTGACACACACAATTTATTTTTAATTAAATACAAATCGAAATATCTCATTAACCCAACTAGCTATCGAATTCAATTAAAGACTGGCAGTATACTTTAACAATAAGCTTTACAATGGTATATATTTTACTCCTGTAGAAAGAGCTTGGTATTTGTACCAATCGCCCATGCAAAGCGGTTGTTCTCCATTTGTATGGAAACTTGAACAGCAGCGCCACAACGAACGTAACGAGGACTAAAAATCAGTACACATTTGATGTATAAAATAGATCGAATTAAACTATTCGAATTCTATAATGGTTCTTGCTAAGGGTCTGATATAAAAGTTTCGAATGATTGCCGCCGCCGGTGTGGACAGAGTCCAATTGTGACAATTTTCCTTTCCAAATCATTAATATTCTTATATAATTACTAGCTGACCCAGCGAACTTCGTACCGCCCTAAAAAAATAGGGGTTGTCCAGCGGACAAAATTGTGAATCTAAACCATTCTCAGATCCCCTTGAACACACACAAAAAAATTCATCAAAATCGGTCCAGTCGTTTAAGAGAAGTTCAGTGACATACACACTCACAGAAGAATTATATATATAAAGATGGGGGACAACTTCTCCGAAATTCGAAAATAAATTCTTAGCCAAAATCGTATCTGAGACTGGTTTAATAATATAATTTTATTGTGAAAGCTGAGTATTTTAGTGTAAAAGTTGATAAAATAAAATACAAAGTAATACTAAAGAAATCTCAATTGTGCATTGAATTCGTTTTGCGGTTATCTTGAAACGAACCTGTTTATTTATTGTGTGTTATATACCTACGATAAGAGATCATTAAAGTAATAAACATTTATATAACGGTTACGGATAACCGTGCAATAAAATAGAATAAGAATTAAGTATCTATTTAATTAAAGTAAATAGTTTTCTTATAATTACAAAATATATTTGTTTTTTTTTTGAAAATTGTTTGTTGTATTGCCAACAATTGAATTAACTGTGAACCCTAAGTATTTTTCGTAGTATTAGTTAAAAAGAACGCATTATTCTGTTGATATGCCACTAGAACTTAATGAATAAAAATTCTGGTCCTTTCTCTATTATTATATTCATCAAATGATTAATGACTTTTTATTTTCTGGTAGGGGAGCGCAAACGGGAATTTAAGGATTTACTCGAGCGCGGCAAATTAACATATGAGGCAACTTTTGACCTTGAGAAGTACTGGCACCATACCTGAGCTTTCTACGTAGCGCCGAACGGATAGGGCAGTAAAAAATATTTCAACAAACGGCCATTGAATAAAAGCTACTGGAGGGTTCACGAAATTTTTTTTGCTGCCCTAGACATTCGGCTCTACATGGAAAGCTCAGGTACGGTGGGAGTATTTCTCACGGTTGCAAGGTTGCCCCCTTATGTTTATCTGCACCGCTCGAGTAAATCCAAAAATCCCCGCTTGGCATCGCTACTATTAAACTTTTTATTCTTAAATCAGTTTTTTTATACATTTAGAAATAGATACCTAATGATTTTCTAGGCGTTGTTTTTCAGTTTGTGTGTTGTTTGTGTAAAATTAATTTTTGCTCACGAATATATTTGTATGTACGAACCGTGCGAACTTTTATTGAGAATAGTTCAAACTGTACTAGGAAAATCACTGAATGTTTTTCCAAGAAAGAAACATTTTTTTTTAATTTCGCTGTTCATTCCAAGTAATGTAGTAGTGAGTACACCTACAAAATATACAAACTGTTTATTGTTTTAAACTTTCATGATCACTAACATTATGATTGTTACCATGTACTTTGCGTTTAGCGAGTTTCCGATATTGTTGATCATGGCGCTTGCAACAGTGCCGAAATATCGGGAACTCGCTAAAAACAAGATAGGTACATGGTAACAATCTCGTAAATAGCTTATGAAAACTGCACTCTTTTCAAATCAGGATAAAATAAAGAACTTGTCTTCGAACAGTAATAACTTTACTTGAAACCATGATTATATTTTTACACAACGCAAAATTACAACAACAAACATCGTTGTTGGTATCCGTCCAACACTTCAGCTTATAGCACCATACAGCCTACCAAAAATCAGAACGTTCGGAAACGAACGTATTATCATACATTATTTTTACACGTCTTCGAAGAATGGTTTAATATTAATATGCATACTTTCGTAATCTATTTAATCACATATTATATAGCATTTCATATAAGACATAAGTATATGACTTATATACCTATAGTACAAACAGTTTGCCAAATCAAATACGATTGAACGAACCACTTGTAAATAATAATGTTGGCGCCTATATACGTTCGGTATTGAGTGACGATGATTGTGCACACGAGTCAGCAATCTGTTCCGATTCGCAGTAAGGGGAACTCCCCCATTCTCTTTTTAGTGGGTAAAAATTTGCTTATCATCAGGTGAAAATTATATGCGACTATTTACGGGTTTTCGATAGTCGCGTCTATACTACGTTTATTTTATGCTTTATTTCCGCTTTTCATGACAAGCAAGTTAATATCAAAGTCACCAAACCAATTCTTTCGGTATAGAAGCAATTTACATTTTTTCTACAGGCAGTCACTATGCCTATTAGAGATCTGCAACATCTTAAGGTGCTATCCCACGATGTGTGTTGTCGCGGGGGAAGCCACGCCGCGCAGGGTATAGCCGCGCCTATGAGTTCTCATACATTTGGCAACAATGCCTCGCCCGCGACAAAACAAGTGGGAAAGCGCCTTAACATGGGCGGTACCTTAATATACGCATAACCGATCATTATATAAATAGTAAATACCGTATTTATTCGTTTAATACGACTTCTGACTCGCGCCATGTTGCGGGCATTGTAAATGCGCCCACGCGTCGTAAATTAATAATTTAAAGTAGTAATTTATGACAATTAGTAACTATTGAAACATGATATTGATTTTTTAAATAATATAACCTTTTTCAACTAAATAATAATTTAATCAATTGTACCGAAGTATAAATAATTTTAATATGAAGTGTTTGCCATCCATTATTCGTCGTATCGTCCCGGTTTACCACATTTGACAATTAGTTAACCATGATTTTTGCCGGAAAATACGCGCGTATAAACTTGATAGTGGGATTAATTTATCAAGTAATCGGATGGAAACAGAATGATGTCATAAGGCCAACATTTGAGATAAGAAAGAACTATCTTATTTATTTAATTAATATTTATAGCGTGTCATTTAGGTCTCGTGAATATTTCTGGTAAAATTAGCGTAGACTTATCATCCCTCGTCATGTAATAAGTAATTAAAATATTTTAGTACTACTAGTCTTTCGAAATCCATTGTAATTTTTAATTTATTAAAAGTATGGTGTTTCATCGGAATTTTTCCATAAGAATTATATCGGCATGAGGCTCTTGTACTCGTAGATCATGAACTGATAACTATACTATAAAAAGTTATTCGTCGTTATCTTTAAGTAACTACTGATTGTTAAAAAAAATGTTATTGTTGCAGGGAGACAAATTTAAAATGTCGTCAGTGCCTTTTGGAAACTGCGGCGATGGGGCAGGACGACGCACAACTGGGCGCATTCGACGGAGAGATAGTCTGCGAAACACCCAACAACCTACTTAATAAGTTCGAAGGTACATACTTTCGCGCATCAGTTCGTTCACCTGTCGCGTTCGGAATTCTTGTTTCTCTTGCAATTCGCTTGTGAAATTGACCGCCACCAGTGCTGTCGCGCCCCCAATGTCGTAACGATTACTCGGCGCCGCTCGTGCATGCATGGTTTTGATGTTGATCGCATAAACCGATTGTTTTGTGTTAGTGGGATTTGCTAATTGATTTGCATTTTATTTTCAATTGCTTCATTTCAATACTCGCAAAGAGAGATTGATTTGCATTTTCAACATGTTTGCTAAATGGGAATAACATGAAATGGACACATGTTATTGCTACCTTTTGCGGCATCTAATTAGTGTCGAAATAAACAACTTTGGTATATTGGTATCCAGTTATCAAAACATCTAACCCAGAATCCTAGATCGAGTATGACATCTGTTCTAAACTGGATATACCTATAAAAATATTGACAAACAACCTCCGTAGTCTAAAGACAACCGCGCTAGATTTGTCACTGTTTCTGGGATCCGGGTTCGATGCCCGGTCGGATCAATGTAGAGTTTGAACTTTTCAACGTTGTCAAGATTTGGATGAGAGAAGAATAAAGATACTTTAGTTCCATGCTCTCACTTGAACTAATTTCTAGTTAGTAACTAATCAAAAGGTTCCATCGCTTGGACGGCTTGGACATTGTTAAGCGCGCTCTCCAAAAGCCGAATAAACTATTTCCTACAGAACCGGTAAAGCACGTAAGCCGTAACTGTGCATGAGCCGCAGTAACTACTAACCTATTAACCATTTAGGAGGTCGTTCTTCCAATATTTATTATTGTTAATTTGACATTGGTGTAGGGACGTTAAGCTGGCGCGACCAACACTTCTCCCTGGACAACGATAAGATCTTGCTGCGGGGCTGCGTGCTTCGCAACACGTCGTGGTGTTATGGCGTAGTGGTGTTCGCCGGTAAAGATACCAAGCTAATGCAGAACTCCGGCAAGACCAAATTCAAGCGCACCAGCATAGATAGGCTACTTAATTTTCTTATTATAGGGGTAAGTACATCTTCGAATCAAATTTTAGTAAGCGTCTAGCTCTTCTTATAAATAAACAATTCTGATCTTAACGTAAAGATTTTTCTTTTCATATATTCAATTTTTTTTTATTATTGTTGCAATTTAAATATTTATTTTTATTTTACTAGGTCAAAAGAGAACTGCTCAAATTACGAAAACTAACATTTTGTTTACCAAGTAACGAACATTTAGTTCTTTGATGTGTGTGTATGCATGTGTGTGTGTATACGTGTGTGTGTGTGTATGCGTGTGTGTGTGCATGCGTGTATGTTAATGCGTGTGTGTGTGTGTGTGCGTGTGTGTGTGTGTGTGTGCGTGTGTGTTTTGTATGTCAAAATTGGACTTTTAAACTTTGGTCCGGCTTTATAGCTTGGTATTTAAATGATAAAAACTACATTAAAATATAAAAATCAGAGTTAATTTGACAGATCCGTCAGGATTTTTCTATTTTACTCAATGTTAACCCTAGATATATTAAATAGGCAAAAATTTAATAATAACCTCCATATTGTTCGTTGTCCCGCAGATAGTATTCTTTCTGCTGTCGATGTGCGTGTTCTGCACGATAGCGTGCGGCGTGTGGGAGTGGCTCGTAGGGCGCTACTTCCAGGTGTACTTGCCCTGGGACACGCTGGTGCCCGCCGAGCCGGCGTCCGGCGCGGTGGTCATAGCGTTCCTCGTGTTCTTCTCTTACGCCATCGTCATGAACACTGTCGTGCCTATATCGCTGTACGTCTCCGTCGAGGTGAGTGTCGTGTATCCTACTGCAGATATGGTGACTCAAAAGGGACGTTATATGCAGATGTTCAATGTTTATATAAGGTGTTTGGAGTTTCTTTACGCATATAAAAATTACAGATACATCAATTATATAGTCTTCTCTAAAAGCACTTGCATATAATTAAAGAAAAACTGAAAACAGTTTATACTCAACATTGCTTATAGCTTGCAAGTATTTCAATTACATCCTCGTATACCTATTCAGTATCGGTGAACTTATTTTTAAAATGATGTTGTTGGAGTGGGGTAGTGCCATTTTCGTTTCCGTTGCTCCTTTCTGAAGTTTAATGAAACAAAGGTGTTTTTAACTTCATTATTCGCTGCAATATATTTTCCAGTCTTGTATATTCAAATATGTTGAGGAATTAAAATCTTTAATTATTATTATTTGCTAAAATAGAAGTAAGGAAGAACATTGAGCTTTTTAATTAGTCCTGTTTGTCTTTCCTTAAAGCTATAAGCAGATTCTAAACAACAGATAGATAAATAGTTTAGCAAATATTATAGTACTAACCAAAACTAAGACAGTTCCGAGAGTCAAATAAAAATAGATTTTACTTAAGAATTCATATTTTTATTCTACTTGCATTACATATCATTTTTGCTAATTCAATATGCGTTTTTAGTCATTGATGTTTATAACTTTCCGAAAGTTTGATAACATTTAAAATTAATATTTACAAATTCGTATTGATATCTATGCGACTGTTAAAGGTCACGATATGTTATAATTACATTTACTGATTACTCACCTCGTCGTCGTGACTCTGTTATTCCCAATAATTATACTTGATTTATAGTGAAAACAATGATAACCTTCTACGGAGGTTGATTTTGAGAATTAACAATAATATAGGCATCCATTAAAAGTTGACGTGACCTGTTTGTATTTGAAATTTTCAATGTTGCTAGGTAGTGGACACAAAATATGAATGACGACAAATTTACGATCAAAAAAATATTAATCGACGATTTATCGTCGATCATTTCTTCTATGTTGATTCTTTATTTTGAACAGGCAGAGATTGGAAAGTTCATTGCAATATTACACAAAACTTTTGAGTGGTGTCTTATTTATCTTGATTGGATTAAAAGGGGGTTTCAGGATAAATCGTTTTTTTTAAAGAAATATTTTGAGTCTTATTGGCAAGGTACCCATCTAGGTTCAGCCTTATAGTAAAAAATGTATAAACATTATTCATTTAACATACTTTAACTTCATCGACATCACATTTGGCATTTTTTCGATCTAGTATGTTGCCAGGAAACATTAGGGACACGTTATCAACCTACCGCTTACAACATTTTTCTAAAGATGTGCCATTCGCCTGCCCTTTGTTTACGTTGTGAGAGCGAAGTAAAATTCCTTATTTCTTTCTTTTACAGGTAATAAGATTTGCACAGAGTTTTCTTATAAACTGGGACGAGAAGATGTACTACGAAAAAACTGGAACAGCAGCGAAAGCAAGAACAACCACGTTGAACGAGGAGCTCGGTATGTAGCACGCTTTATATATAAACATTTGCTTCGACTGTCGTGCATGAGAGGGGCTAAACATCGACATACTTTTCAGGGCAAATTCAGTACATTTTTTCCGATAAGACGGGCACTTTAACGCAAAATATAATGACGTTTAACAAGTGCTCCATTGCCGGAGTGTGTTACGGGGATGTTGTCGACGAGACCACGGGCGAAACCATCGAGCTCACAGAGGTAAGAGCCGAGCTCCCGTTACATCTAAATGCACAATGCGGTTATTTCAATCTTCTCACTTTGAGGACACAATTAATAGATACATTTGAGTTCTTAATTACGCAAAAGTAGTCAAGCACATCGTTATAGAAATTTCTTAGAATCACCACAATGCATGTAGATTGCATTATTTCGAATAATATCATCATAGCAGGTTTAATCACATGACATGAGCACGTTTTGGCGACTCATGAATTTGTTTTGCATGAGTTTTTATTAGGATATTTGTTTTCGTGTTTTCATGTTTTCGATTTGGGTATAAGGATTATTTCTAAAGAAGTGTTTTGTGCCGTTTGCCCACGCTTTGGGGTTGTTGTGAATCGTTTGAAGTAAATGTGTTTCATTATCCAAAATAGTGCATGGATAATAGCAAGATTTTATTATAACCTGATCCTTTTTGATATATTATTCATGCACACTATGATTGCACACTGCGTACCTACACTACTCACAGAACACTGTACATATAGCATGTGTTGAATTGTTTTATTTCCACTCGGCAAAAATAGTCCTTATCTGTGAGTTTCTACAGAAAAATGGTATATTTTGTAAATATTTTAGCGTACGTGTGAAAGATAATCACTTTAAAGATTATATCTTTCATTTCAGCTCGGTAATGATTTTTTTGGAGGAAATCCCCAACTGTAAGCTACAGCTAAACAAACATTTAAGATTACAGGTTAACTCTTAAAACATTCATTGGGTTTGGTCTCAAACTAAGCATATCTTGATTTGCCTGCGGTTTGCTCCTACTACACTCGGCGTATAATACACTCGGCGTCACAAAAAAACGCACCTCTGCGACAATAACTTTCAAGCATTAACCCTTAACATGCGCATCTACCCGCACCAATATTGGTGTCATTTGAAAGCCCATTAAATAAACCCTATTTCCATTGAATTACCATTGAAACGCTAGGTTCGGTCTCGTGATCCCGCTCCCATGACTCTCCAGGAGCTCGAAGAGGCCGTTATTGTTAGTTTTAAGAACCTTTTTGTATTTTTTTTTGTGTAATTCATCTGTTTTTTGATTAAGGCTTAATTAAGGATTTTTATTGTTTTGTAAACTTTATAGTTTTTTTGCATTGTTCCAATAAAAAATAAAATCTATCGAATTGTTTTTTTAAGTTTATTTAATGGGCTTTCAAATACACCAATATTGGAAGGGGTAAATGCGTGATTTAAGGGTTATAATAACGTTTTTTTTGACGCCGAGTGTATTAAAAATATTCACACATTACTTTTTACAATGAAGCGATCTGTAAGTAGGTTTCTAGAGTGTAGACACGAAGAACGGGCAACAATATCCGAGCAGAACATTATAAGGGCTAGCCCGATCTGTAGTAGGCAATTGAACGTCGGGGCAGGGCAATACAAGCGTTCTTAGAGTGTGGACGCAAAGACCACACAATAATGTCCAAGTAGAGTGATACTTGGGTTCTAGCGATCTGTAGAGTGTGGACATAGAGACTGGGCCTCAATGGTCCGGACAGAGTGATATCTGTATGAAGATTCCTAGAGTCTGGACTTAAAGACTGGGCAATAGCTAGTAGCGATGTAGGTAGGAAATTGAGCGTCCGGGCAGGGCGATACCAGAGTTGTAGGGGTGTGTGTAACGCAGCGCGGCGGCAGCAGGACGGGCGGAGGCGGGGCGAACGGCGCGCGCGGCTCTAGCGGGGCGGTGCGCGCGCGCCTGCTGGACCTCGAGCACGAGCAGGGCCGCAGCACGCCCGGCGCGCGCCGTCCGCGACTTGATTCACACGTATGGCCAAGCACGCGACTCGATCCCTCGATCCCTCGACCCCAACTACCTATAAATAGCGCGATTCACACTTTGTGGCGGCTGTGAAGTTAGCAGATTCTCACACTGCCCCGCACTATGCTACATAGCGCGAAAGTGCGTGTCTCACGTCGCTTGCAAGACCTCTCTTTATATTGATACACGTCACGGCGCAGTAAACAAAATGTCGGGTGATATAGGTTATCGGGATATCATTGAAATGTTACCTGCGAATTGTTGCACTCAATTCCAATTTATAAATCGGCTTTAAAGTTTGATTGCACTATAGGTACCTAGATAGGGAGCGATTCATAATTTATTCCGGTTGTGAAGAAAATCGCAACTATACGTAGGTATGAGGTAAATATGCAGTTCAGGACATCATAGAGGACTACGTCCTCTTTAACCAACTGTGAAGTGTAACCGGGCAAATAAGTGTTAGAGAGACGACGTGAAAAAGAGGTCCATAGGGCGTCCATATATTGTTTTTTTTTGTCTCTTTCTAGAGATTTCTCAATTTCATGCGAATTTTGCTCAGTCCATTCTTTATATCTAAGAGTAACATCTCGCGCACACACATCATCATTCTACGTTTGGTTTACTGGGCAGAGACTTGAGCTAACTTCACAGTCGCCATTCACTTTGAATCTCGCTATACCTACCACTCGCATACAAACCTCTACACGACATTTTACTCGATTCTTGCCTAAACGTATGTTTTGTAACCATGGAGGATGAAGAAAGTTTATGACTATATTAAAAGTGTTTAATCAAACGAACCCTTGATTAAAACAGGATAATGTGTGTTTCCGTAATTATGATTAACAAATTCTGAAATGTGTTGAAGGAATATGTCGTTCTTTAGGGCTGTGATTGTTTGAAGTATATTTCCAATAATGAGAGGTTATAATAAGCATATACTTTTAATGTAGCAATTTACGTCTTTATTTTGTAAACCTCTTACTCTTCCTTATTATAAAGGGAAATATATTAGATATTCGGTTGGAGGAAAATACATACACGGTGGGTGTTTTTCTGTATAAACATTAATTTGTTTATCTTTCCGTCACATTGAGCCTAACGCGTAAATTGAAGCTATAATATTTGAAATTATATCTTTATTAACATACACGAGTGCGTGTTCCTCAGTGTCCTTGTAACTTGGAGGACAAGTTATTATTAATTTTATCATTTCAATTTGTCAGCTATCAAGTACTTTAATTTTTATTCGATTAAAATAATATCTAGGTAGTAATATCTACCTAAAAGATTTAACAAAAAGGTTTGTATGTGATGCGGTGGAGGCCGATTTCGATTATAGATAAAACGTCGTCTAATATCATAATATTGTTTTATAAAATTGCATTATTTAACGAAACTAAACTTATAACCTTTATTTATCAAACTAAATTTTTACCGCTGACCAACGTTTTATTGATAAGAAATCGGCGTAGGTAAATATAATTTGTAACTGCTCGATAACTACCTTTTCGCGCTCAGAAGAACAAGCGCCGTGTTAAGCTACACTAAAGTGCGGCCAACGAAAGAAAGTGATCCTCATGGCGACAGAATTAGAGTTTATTTTCTGACCTCTTTTTTAGAGGTGACTGGTGAGATTTACTAGATCGAAAGTGTTCTTTATTCTGTTAACTTAAAGAAGTGACACAACCTGCCAGTAGCGTTTTCTTACGTTGGCAGCACTGTAGTCTTTATGTATTTGTGCAACAGTTATTTTTTCATGCCGGCGCTTCAATTGTCTATTCGTATTTTCTATTAGTAAACTTGACAACAGTCTGTTATGTTGGTCCAGTCACTAGGGTTTCACCTCGGAATTTGAGATAATGAGCTGGAAACTCGTGTACAGCTTCATTTTGGCGTTCTAAAAGTTGTCTCAAAAGTCTCATATTATCTCTCTGCGTCTTACGTCTGCGTCGTAAATTATTCGAGTTCAAAGGTCACGAAAATCGGTTTTTTGCAATTATCTCCGTTTCTATGGTTCCAATCACTTCAACACCTATTATGAAAATTAAAGATAAAAAAAAACCCTAACTTTTGTCTCAACTTTTTTTCTATGCGCCCAACCCTTTTCTAGATAGAGGGCGGAGAACACCCAGCGCTCAGGCATACATACATACTGTAATACAAGGTCAACCCTGAATTTCGGTAAATAATAGAAACGGCGATAATTGCAAAAAAAAACGATTTTCCTGATCTCCGACCCCGAATAAATTACGACGCGGACACAAGATAATATGAGACTTTTGAGACAACATTTAGAACGCCAAAATGAAGCTATATACGTGTTTTCAGCTTATTATCTCAAATTCTGAGATTGACCTCTTTTTTCCCTGGACTGTGTGTGTGAAGTGACTGGACTATGTCCTTCTCATTCTTTATAAGGAATGAAAAAGATAGACTGTTATCAAGTTTACAAATAGCAAACACGAATAGCCAAGTTAAGTGTCGGCATCACGTAGCTTTGTTCGTCTGTGTAAGGATGGTCGGCGTGAGGATGATACACGCACTGTCTCTTATCTAAAATAAATATATATTCATCTCCCATGGGTTTGGTTTTTGTAGTAAGTAGTTCAATTATCTAAAAAGGATGTGACTTAAACACTGACATACCTACCTATAAAAAATTAGCAGTGCGTAGATACAGTAAATTTAAATATATCTATCTTTTCATATTTTACTATATGAAAAGGTACAATGTTAGCCTTACTGTGTTTTTAAAGTTCTACGATCATAATAAATGAAACCGAATTTTTATTTACATTATTTATGCTGTTTTAGTTTGAAAATCAATAATATTAAAGATAAGCCAAACCCATAGCAAATTATAATACAAAGAACAAGTGCGATGACTATATTTTTTTAGAAAAGATGCATTGAATGTTTTAAATCAATAAAGGCGTCATCATTTGTATTTTTATACCATACTTAATCCATGTAAAATTGTTTTAAGCTAATGAAAATCATTGTAACAAATTCACGAATTATTTTCGTACACAAATTCAACTTTCTATTAAAAATTTATGTAACCTATTCTATGCTCTGTAAACTTTTATAACAAGAACCGGAATTTTATATAACGCTATGTTTATAAATTATTATAATTTGGAGGTGTACCGCTATAATTTCTATCCTAACATTACTCCCTTTATAATATTATCTCCCTATCGGTGTATCCTAGATTGGATCTGTGGGATGTATACTTATATATTTATAATAAATAAAATACTCTACCCATAGTACTGTATAACTCACTCACATATCTTCATATTGTATATTGTCTGTGGTTTTGTATATATGTATTTACTCTCTCTTTTTTGCATGTGTCGCTTTGCATCTTGTGTTGTCTCATGTCTTGGGTTGCTTCTAACACATTAAAACATTTTTTGTTTTATTACGAACGATTCTATATTAAAATGTTATTTACGTTATTAATTAAAATATTCAATATCATTGATTTTACATGTCTGATTAGTTTGTTCAAATCAATTGTGTTTCGACAGAAAGTGATAAATCATTATTTTTTGGTTGGAGTACCAAAACGTTAGTTTTATAGTTCAGCGGCAGTATTCTGTATTTTAACTGCCAGTAAGAAAAAGTGGTTAAAGTGTGATATCGTTCAACTGTGCATGTATGTGATGTTTCGTTCTAATAACCGAACTTGTATATCGTTAGAAGTTGCCAATACGGCCGCTATACATTACAAGTTTACCAGTTTTAACATAGAATCGTTACCTGCAAGAACACCATCGAGCGCGCGCTGACTTTACTTTTATCGCAGAGCACGGAGCCCCTGGACTTCTCGTTCAACCCTGAATACGAGCCGGAGTTCAAGTTTTTCGACTCGACGCTGCTGGAAGCCGTGAAGCGCGGTGACCGCGAGGTGCACGACTTCTTCCGGCTGCTGGCGCTGTGCCACACCGTCATGCCGGATCAGAAGAATGGTCGCCTTGAATACCAGGTATACACCCGGGCAAACGCAACTTATAACCATCATCATTATTTGATCCTGACGGCGCAAGTGGTTAGCGCGTTCGGTCTGCAATCATGGTAGTTTAGCCTTTAGCAACGACTGCTGGATTTCCACTTACAACGGTCCACACCGTAATGCCGGAGCATAAGAATGACCGCCTGGAATACCAGGTAACCATCAACGTCATCAGCTGATGGACCACCACTGACAGACATAGGCCTCTAGGTGCACGACTTCTTCCGGCTTCTAACAGTCCATGAAACTCTCAACAGACGCGTTTATGCCTCCACAGTCCGTGGTAGCTATAGCTGCAAATTTCCGCGCTTTTTTATAATTACGCCTTAAAAGACCGGCTATATCTGACTTGGAATAAAATTTAAACGGCCGTCTTGTGGTCTGTGGCGGTTCGCTGGAATACATTTTTGGAGCATTGCATCCTGAATAATGCGTTATATTTCTTGCTATTTTATATACCTACTTGATATTAGACATCTGAGCCTGCGCAGTGGCAATTTCACATACAAACACTTCTTTAGTGCAAGTTTGTCTATGCTTTTAATGAAGAAGTTTTCCTATACCTAATAAACATCATCATCAACCGATCGACGTCCACTGCGGGACATAAGCTCTCTTTCTCAGTTTAGGGATTTCCACACATAATGGTCCTGCGCTATATGCATCCAGTGAGTCTCCAGTACCAGAAGCAATATCAGGTGTGATTCATTCATATAATGGTTGTGAAGTTAGCAGTAAGCGCAGATTTTAGTTCAGTGATACTGCACCGCGACTTGAGCAAACTTCACTAACTTCAATATGTATCGAGGGAGGGAAATTAAATCAAACCTTAGTCATGCAAACATCGTGAACCTACAAGAAAGCAACTACATATAATACTAGTGAGCATAAAAAGTGGCCAATAACCTACCTTTTCACTCCTACATGTGGAGTCATCATTTTGAACCTTTGCCGCCAAAAAGATGTAATCTAAATCCGTTTGAAACTGTTTTGATTGATTTCAGGCGCAGTCTCCCGACGAGGCTGCACTGGTATCGGCGGCCAGGAATTTTGGTTTTGTGTTCAGAGAACGCTCGCCTAATAGTATTACAATAGAAGTTATGGGTAACACAGAAGTAAGTTAATTGATTAATAATAATCAATTAAATAAGCATAATCAAATAGTAATTATTTTCAATATAATTGCCCATTTAATTGTTCTTTTTCTTTTCAGGAATATGATTTGTTATGTATATTAGATTTTAATAATGTTAGGAAAAGAATGTCCGTGATATTGAGGAAGGATGGTGAAATTAGGTTATATACAAAAGGTGCTGATAATGTAATATATGACAGATTAAAATCAAATCAAGCGGAAGTTAAATCAAGAACACAGGAACATTTAAATGTAAGTAACACACATTATAGAAATTGAATTAAAAAAATAAAGCTTCGTCTTTGGTCCATAATTATTGTATTAACTGATACAAGTTTTCCAGTACTGTTATTGTAATTCTGTTAATTATTATGTGAACTATAATTGTATGAGTTCGGAAGTTAAATCAAGAACACAGGAACATTTAAATGTAAGTAACACACATTATAGAAATTGAATTAAAAAAATAAAGCTTCGTCTTTGGTCCATAATTATTGTATTAACTGATACAAGTTTTCCAGTACTGTTATTGTAATTCTGTTAATTATTATGTGAACTATAATTGTATGAGTTTTGAGTCATCCTTCTCATTGTATTGTATGCCGTTAAACAGGATCCTTATAGATAAAGACTCCATATTTAGCATGCTCGTTACTCTGTTATATGAAGGTCGTCAAAAGTGATAATGTAACTGTCGGCACTGTCAAACTTCCGCTGACAGTTTTCGTGTACATTTGGATAAAGATACAGTTAATTGTCTATGTCTGTGAAATGAACTAATGGAAAATACAAACAACAGAACAATGCAAAAAACTTCCAGGGTAACTGAATACAGTACCACATAAGTAAAGACGCCTTCTTCAGAGACATTGCTTCATACAGTGGGGATGATGCCAAACTTTTTTTCTTAGCATATAAGGTATCAAAAACTATTGGTCAAGTATTTTTTTCTTTTTTCACATAATCATAACGCATGACGTCACGGCTTGGTACATTTGAACTTAGTCGTGACATCAGGAGCGAGCCCCCGCTCCCAAACTTGACGCACTTTATCCTTGTAATTGATTGGTTGATTGACAAAAGAAAAAAATGTGTCCATTATTTTTTAGGGTTCCGTACCTCAAAAGGAAAAAACGGAACCCTTATAGGATCATTTTGTTGTCCGTCCGTCCGACTGTCAAGACCGTTTTTCTCAGGAACGCGTGGAGGTATCAAACTGAAATTCATATCTAATACTCATGTCTACTGTCCCTTGGAGCTGTGAAAAAATCAAAGTTCTAAGTCAAAGCAATCAAAAGATACAGCCGTTTATGCCACAAATTTCCGCAAATTTTCGAAACTCGCACGGGAATCAAAACCTACAGGCTACTTCCCGTGAACTTGTGATTTTGAAATTTGGTACGAAGTAACGTCTTATAGTACAAATAAACGAAAAATTGCGAAAACTGTAAATTTTTAGTTACATCATTTATAATAAAATTTTTTTTTTAAAATTTTTAAGTTACTACCTCTTTTCTCATGAACCCGTAGAGGTATTAAATTAAGTTTGTACGGAACCTCCGGTGTCCGAGTCCGACTCGCACCTGGCCTGTTTTTTTATTTAATCGAACTGATGGACTAAATATAATTTCGTTCACTTTACCCCGTCATCGTCCCCTATTGCGTGTGTGTGTGGGTGAGCACTGGCGGCCTTTCGAGAAACTTTTCTATTAACAGCGACATGCCGGCAGTGCTCACTTACACAAGTGCACTGCATGAAGCTTTGCCTCTGTGCCTTCTTTCGTCATGTGAATGTACGAACACCCCTGTTCATGTAATTCATATAACTGCAGTTTTCTCACGCTAGAGCGCAGCACTAGCATAAACAGTAGACAAACATTGACATGTGGTTCAAACCGTGAAGAAGGGTATATTTATTTCTTAGGTTTTCACGGACACCACTCATTAAATAAAACAGAGTCAACGGTATAGATGCACTGGTTTATTTATTTATGACGTTTCGCAACCTCTTCAGGCTGCGTCGTCAGAATTCGTAACTGAAAGTTGTTTAATTTCACTGATTGCACCTTGAAAATTGGGTAATGCTGCGTATTTGGATGTGCAAATGGATGAAACCATTCACTTCCATTAACCAAGAATGTTCGAAAACTACGGGAATCAGATTGCATTTTATCATTTATTGGAGTTAAGCTTCAGTATAACCGCTTTTTACTCCACAAATATTTTCTCTATTCTCTTCAAACTCGTTCCACGCTCTTTATTGTAGTCTGTAGATCATCCACTTTTAAATAGTCGTAGGATGCCTTCATACATAGTTGAAAAAACATTTAGTGTCAGAAGTAATACTTATTTTTGTAGGTCCTTAATTTTAACAAGGAATAATTGAAAGTCATAGGCATATATGTTTTCACAAAAATCATGTGACAACAATACGATAATAAGCACCGTGGCGCTTTGTTTACTGTATGTACTAGTGGTGCCCAATGCGCCGAGCTTTGCATAATATTTCCTACTGAACAAAATTCCTCATTAAAAAGTGCCATATTACAATCCATTAAACCGTGATCCTCGCTACGCCAACAGAAGTTCGCGGGCGAGGGTCTGCGTACGCTGGCATTGGCGTGGCGGCCGCTGGACGAGCGCGGGTTCGCCGAGTGGAAGCATCGTCACCAGCGCGCCGCGCTCGCGCTGCACGACAGGGACGAGCAACTCGACGCCATCTACGAGGAGATCGAGACCGACCTCCAGCTTATGGGTGTGTGTCTATAAATAAACAATCATCTCCTTCACAAGTAGGGGGTCTTCGCACGCTGGCAATGGCGTGGCGGCCGCTGGACGAGAGCGGGTTTGTTAAAGAAACGAATCACATTATTCCTGATAGGATATCTAAGAGGAACTGAACATCTTACGTCGTCTTTTACGATTCCTTGCATTATTGACACGAGCTGTATGTAATTAAAACAAATACAGTTGCGGCAGAAATGTCCAATTAAACAGTAGTATGTATATTTTTATTAGAATAATGCGAATTTGTATAATGTTTGTCCATTTCGCTTGTTTCGCAGGCGTCACAGCGATAGAGGATAAATTACAGGATGGAGTGCCTGAAACCATAGCGAATCTCAGTATGGCTGGTATAAAAATTTGGGTTTTAACGGGTGATAAACAAGGTGAGTGCCACATCGATTTTTTACAATTTTACTATAATATTTTGAGTACGGTTGTTGAAGTGCAAGGATTTTATGGTTCTAATTATATCCGACCCCACGCATGTTCGTAACTTTCAATATATCAAATTATTTCATTAGATCATTTTCAAGTTACCTTCCTTTTAATTTATTTTTACACCGATGTTATCCGTGCCGCCAAATCGAATCACGTTTTTAATTTGACATTGGCATTTTTTATTTTTTATGAACTGTATATAATCTTCCTTATTGTTAAGCGGTTAGTCTATTTATTAAATAAAATATTCCTAAATTCTCTATAGATTGCTAAAGTGAGCCTCTTGTTTGCTTCTTGTTGGGAGCTTCTTGTTTTCAGACACGGCAATAAACATAGGATACTCGTTTACCTTTATAGCACCTACATTTAGTTCATCTATCTATCAAATAAAATGTCTCTAATTCAACGGATATATATAATAGCCACGGTAATTTTTTTTTAAATTTAAAGTTATTATTTATGTTTATAATTAATAAAATTCAAATAATCTATTGTTTGACAATGATGATGTGAATTTGTTATAATTTTATTTTATATTATGGAATAATTGTAATAAGTTTTTTCTTCTCAACATGACAATTAATTTGCACACCCCATTGGGTAAGAATATAGGATGCTCTTTATCTCTGTATCACCATTTGTTACCATATTCTGCAAATAAAGATGATTATGATTAAAGAATTATTTCAGAGACGGCAATAAACATAGGCTACTCGTGCCAGTTGTTGACGGACGACATGGCGGAGGTGTTCGTTATTGACGGCGTTTCCCACGATGACGTCGATCGACAGCTCGCTAAGTGTCGAGACTCGATACGGGTAGTCAATACTTTCCTGCCACATGGTATGTGTTTGACTTTATTATTTGAGTAACAAACGTTAATGTGAAATGCAATTAGACACAATTATAAAAGACGTAAATTGAAGTTTCAACGAATTAAAATTACATTAACATTTCATTAAGAATACATTTGTTATTCATTACATTTTTTAATTGTTTATATTTTATAGGAGTATGTCATTTAAGGTATCAATGTAAAATTCATCTATGTGCGACGGATTCACACTTTATGAACTGCTATGAAGTTAGCAACAAGCGCAGCTTGTCGCAGGTTTCAGTCGTTAAAACCTATAGGCAAAGAGAATGGACCGAGTAATAGGGTCAGTTCGCCTGTTCGCGTCCATTTAGTGCAGTTGCAAAGTTTGACGGCGATAATAAAAATATCCCAGCTCTAATTACTATGAAAAATTTATGTAATGTGTTCATTATATAGTCTATTTTAAGATTAACTTTCAGTTTTGTTCGAAACATCTATTGTTTTTTATTTAAATAGATAAACTTCGGAATAAGGCGTTTTACCCACTTTGCGTCCACAAAATCCAAATTGCGTCCACCCGTGGACCATTTAGCGTCCACCTTAGAAAAAGAATATAGGGGTGATATTTATAGAATTTGTATAGAAAGATTGTACCTATTTTAACAATTTCTTTATTTTAGAATATAAATATTAAAACCAACATTATTATCATTAAAATTATCAAAATTTAAAAAAATAATAAATATTCTTCTCAATATTGATTGAATTTAAAATTATATAAGTAGTAGATAAATAATGATTGCATCTTTAAGAATAAACAGTAATCAGTTTTGTTAATTTTACCCAAAAATCACAAGGTATGTTTTTCTCATTGTCGTCTTCTACATCTGAAATTAGTATATCGTCACATTCAGAAAAAAATCTTTCTTAAATTCCTGATTTACCATTACCTGTGTGACTTCTTGAAGAGCATCTTCGACCTTCTTCTTTCGTTTTGGAGCAGTTTTACGAACCGTTTGAGATTGTTTTAAACTCTGTTCTTGTTTCTCTATCCGTTCTAACTTTCTTTTTCGTGTTGCTTCCTGCTTTTCATTCTTGATCTGCTCTCTATCTTCTTAATACTGGATACATGGAGTACATGCAGCAGGAGATATGGTTGCTAGAGTTCTTTGATTATCTTTTTTTTTTTTCAATTCAATTCAATTTATTGCACTCATGTGGTTACATCGATGGTTACAAAATGTTTATAGTACCTAACATGAACCCTGTCAGGGTATCGCAATATACAGTACAGTTAAAGATAAAAATTACAAAAGCATCTAATTAATAAACAATTAATAAATAGTATATAAGGAACCTAATTTGTGTCAAAAATAAATATCATCTGATTCCATTTGTTTAACAATATAACTTACTCAATTGATCTTATTAACAGTAGAAATATAATAGAAATGGAAATTCATTTATAAAATTAAATTAAATTTGTCAATAATTAAAATTAATAAATATGTCAATAAAAATAAAATAAAAAAATAAAATAATATGTCAATTAACATGATTATTATATACTAGGTTTGTATTTAAAAAAAATCGCCTTATTAGTATTATTTTGTTGTAATTATCTTTTCGTGCTTTGTTAGACATTTCGGGTAGCATCAGGTGGTGTCTGGTCCCGGTTTCTTTACTTCATTTGGTCTGCGCCCACTGATTTTGTACAATATGTCTATGTGTCTTACCGATTTATTCTTTTCTCGAATTTCTTTTAACGCTTTCTTTAAAGCGTCTTCTGTGTATATTCTCTTTTCCTTCTACTTTCTTGTCTCCGAAGAACTCATCTCAAATAGAAAAAAAATAAGAATGAAACAAATAAAGTATTTGATTGATTGATTGAAATTACTCATTTCATTTAAAAATAGCATTAAAAACACGTAGTCTTAATAAAAATGTATAATAATAATAATCAATACCTATATTTTAAATTATAATTAATTAATTGTATTTAACGAAAATAGTGGACGCAATTTGGTTTATTATTATCCCCTGTAGGTTTAGTTTGCGTCCATTGCGGACGCAAATTGGAAGTTTTGTAATTTCGATGTAGTAATTCGCGTCCACCTTATTTTATTTATTAAATATAAAAAACATAAGAAAATTTATAATTAATATCATTCCTTTCTTCATTATAAAAGTCTAGAAACAGCTATGTATCCTAAAATTAACATAAAAAAATAAAAATCTTACCATCGAACGCGCCGCTGCACACTATTTTTTATCTAAACATCCCGCGTGTACGCACTCCCTTGATGGATAACCGAGACTAATTTTTTTTTTTAAACGGGATTGTTTGGCGCACCTACCTTTTGACCATGTGTTCGTGCCTCTTATATATTAAGGTATTAGCGGTAATTACTTTTTGTTTGATTGGTGTGTTAGTTTACTTATTATTGAGGATTTTTTAAGGGAGATCCGTAAAATGGACGCGAATTGGGCGATGGACGCGAACAGGCGAACTGACCCTACTTGCATTAAGTTTACAACCCTTTATATAGAAAAAGAGAAAAATATAGACGATACCTACACAAATTAAGCGCATTTTATCTCTCACACTTACTTTTGTTTCACTTTATAGTTGGACAGGCTCAGTCAATTCTCTATGTTAATAGCGAAACTGCCCGATCTAAATTTTCTTTACTGCGCCGCCATTTGCGGTTAACTATATAGCTGCCAATTAGTTTGGATCGCACTATAATCTGTTCCTGAAAACATGTTAGTGGAGCGTTTTCTTTATTACATAATCGCTTACAAAAAACTAGACTGGAAAACTATGTCACACGAAAATAGGGGCTGTAAACTACTGGAGCAACGACAACAATACCGACCAATGATAAGAAGCATAGCTTTCGCCGTAGTTCGTTGCCTTGAACATAGTTTTGTTTATAAAGAGAAACTTTTAATATATCGCTACTATATTTTTCATTCATCTTTATCATGTCACATTACTTACTTAATCGTTGAGAAAAAAAATCAGACCTTATTAACAAGCATCGGTGGTTCAGTGGTTCCTTCATAAAACCTCACCGGAATTTTTTACACTTTATATTTAGTAAAATAGCTGTGCCCCGCAGTAAAACGTAGCCTATGTGTTAATCCAGGGTGTCAGCTCACTCCATACCAAATTTTATTAAAATCACTCCAGCCGTTTAGCCTTGAAGAAGTAACAAACATACACACTCACAAACTTTCGCATTTATAATATAGTATGATGCTTATGCGTAGAAATTTTAAATTATATTAGTATTAGTAGTAGTAGGAAATAATCAACAATTTGCGACACAGGCACATCGGAATCGAAACGCAACCCGGAGACGGCGAACGGTGGCGCCGGCGCAGGGGGCCCCAACGCCTCCGTTTCCCGGCCGTCGCCCGGGCGCGCCGCCAACGTGAAGCTGAACGCGCCCGCCGTGTCCGTCGTCACATTTAGGTGGGCGCATACCGCGCGCAGGTAGAACACTCACACGCACACACTGCGCCCGCTCTCTGTCCTGTCACCTTTACTTTGTGTCCGCCGAGCGCATGTATCACACTCCACTCTCATCCGTAACGACGACGTTGAAATCTGGCAACCCGGGCCAATTATTCAAATCTAAAATCTCTCTCTCTCTTTCAAATTTGTAAATCAAATAAATCAAATCAGAACACTCACACTCACACACACACACACACACTGCGCCCGCTCTCTGGCCTTTCACCAACGATATTAAATACCCTAGATACACCAACACGAACAAAATTGTGCCTGAAACCTGTCCAAAAGGTACATTGGACGATCCACGGACCCGTAAGATGATCGCGTAGTCAAAAACAATATAAGGCATTATTTAAACATTGAATGACGCCTTTAATGCACACTGTATAAGGTCTTAATTAAAACGCATACGTCAAAGAGTTATGACACTTGGAAATGCAATCTCGTAAAATTTTACGATTTATTGCTACATGCGGAAGAATATAGACCTTATTTCTTTGACTACGCGCAAATCTCAATGCGCTGTTAGCAATATAGCAGGTACGGATCGCAAGGAAAAGAGACAGCTATATTACCAATTAATATCACAAATATTATCTTTTAAATCAGTTATAGTAATTAGAACTAAATTTGCTTCAAATGCGTTAAATTATCAAACATTGATTAAGATACCTGTCAAAAAAACGACACTTTACATACTATAAGTATTTTTTTCGCATTTTTTCACGGACCTCTGCGGCAACTTGACTTTTCTACAGTTTTTGAACGCAGGTGGTGTATCTACGGTATTTAATATCGTTGCCTGTCATCTTTATTTTGTGTCCGCCGAGCGCATGAATCACACTGTCATCCGTAGACGACGACGTTCTGGCACAATGGCCATTTATTCAAATCTAAAATATCTCGCTCTTACTCAAATTTTTAAATCAAATCGAAATATCGTTCCTTGCCTTGTATGTTTTCGTGCCCTCCCTCGCAGGCCGCCGCCCAGCGCCATGGCCGCTTTTGACCCTAGGCTAAATACGACCCGATCTCGATACGCGCTAATGTCAAAAAGTTTTGTATGGAAGATATTTAGTTCTAGTTACGTCCGTTGTGGCGCTGTTCGAATTTCTATATAAAACTTCCGCGCCGCCAACGTGAAGCTGTACCCTTAGCACGAAGCAATATCGAATTCGAATAGTTTGCGAATGCGTAATGTCATTATGAATTTCAAAAAATTACATTGTCATTCACGCGCATTTCACTACCACAGCGCCGAAACTTTCATGAATTTTAAGTTCTTAGAACGCCCCATACTTTCAGAATCTAGGAGGATTTATAACATGGGTGTAGATAAAGTATTCTATGCAACTGTTATAATTAGGTATTAAAATACTCATGTGACAATATTGTCAAACCCACATTGGTGTTTTAATACCCTCATTATACATATACAATATTATACAATAGTTGCATAAATAACTATTACTGTATTCCCCAATAAATCTTAAAACCTTGAGTGTTAAGGTTTCTTTTTCAGTGCCTTTTGCTAGTTAACGTTTTATTCTATGAATAAGTTTGCTTGAATATCGCTTCGGTGCTTTAACAGCAGTGAATACATACCATTGGATAGCTTGTGTGTCAGTTCATTCAATGTGGGTTTTAATTAGTGATATATAATTTAAATTTGTTATAATTACTAGTAGTACGTCGAATAATGAAACCTTAGTATCAATGCGCATTTGAAATTGTCAATTCATACATTACCTTCTATTTACTAACGTCACAAAAGCACTGATTTCCTGTTTCTGAATCACCCAAGCGTGCTGTTTTCTCTGTCTCACCCTTTCCCGTGTTAATACTATATGTTAGTTAACTGTACATTTATGACTTGTTTCACCAATTACCGATAAATTTTCAGACGGTTCTCTGGCAAGGCTTACTAAATTTTTAGTTTATCTGGCATAAAAGTACCTCATATGCTATCAGGAACTTTATCAGCAAATGGTGAAACGTTGAAACTGAAAAAGTTATTTAACTTCAATCTTATTTATCAGTGACCTTAATTAGTTGAATATTTTTTAAAACATTTAAATGATTTTCAAATTGTATTGAATGTACAATAAAAAATATTGAATTATTAATTTACCTTACCTTCTTCAGGAAAGCAATTAGTATTATTTTACTGTGTATTTACTATTATCTGATGATCATTTGATATGCCCTTTTTAGGTTCACACGCGGGCCATGTGCGGATGAGTGAGTGCTAAAAACTGCAGATGCAGCCGGTACCAATGCTCTAATACTCCTTTCCGAAGCACGGAGGAACTCGAGATAATAATTTTTTGGTCATCCATCCTACGACCGCTCTAATTTAATTGATGTAAACGAAACACTGAGTAACATAACTTGTTTATTAATAAGATCTTATTAATAAAAGAACGCGGCCTTAATAAACATAATTGACGACCTCCGTGGCCGAGTGGTTTGTACGCCGGGTTTCATGGTGTCGCCGACTCAAGAGTTCTCGGATTCGAACCCCGGTAAGGGCAGATGTTTGTGTGATGAATACGAGCATTTGTACTCCAGTCATGGATGTTTAATACGTATTTCTATATAAATATACTTATATAGGTACGGTATATGTATACTATCTGTTACCCTAGCATCCCATAATACAAGCCTTACTTATTAAGCACTTACTTTGGGGCTAGGCTAATTGGTGTGTGTTGTAAATATTTATTTATTTATAGTTAAATCTCTTTTGCCACTTATACACAATGAATTAGAAGTTACATGACGCTGATTTGGGAGGGTATTTGCAGCAACGAGTATATGTCCGGCAGCGGGCCGTACTCTGCGGAGTCGCACGAGCCTAGCAACGACGACTCCAACGGGTTCGCGATCGTTGTCAACGGCCATTCGCTTGTACACTGCCTTCATCCAAAACTGGAGGAAAAGTGAGTTAATTGAACTTCATACTTGCTATTTTTTTTTGTAAAACTTGAAAGAATCGTGTCATTGCACAGGACTATACGCATATTACTAGAACACTCGCTTGTACCCTGCTTACATCCCAAACTGAAGGAGAAGTGAGTAAATTGTTGAACTATGCATTTTGTAGTGACAGTTATTGAAAATTTGCTACGCGCGAAAACATCTTGATAGTACATAGAACTATGTGCATTAAGCCATATGAGCTTAAACTTTGCCATACGGTTTTACTATCTCTTATTCTCTATCTCCTTATGATGAATTTGATTATTTATTGGATCAATATTGAAAAATGGTCCTTCGAGCTGGATGGATAATATACGAGATATCTATTGGTTTTAACGTGAAATAATCTAGTTTTAATATTCAAGGTCTATATTGAATACTGGTCTTTTACGCCGTATGGATAATATGCGATATGGTAATCGTTGTAAATATGCAATAATGTAGTCTAATATTCAGCTTGAGTCTTTTTAACTCAATTGTTAATTAGATAATAGAACAGGTGGATGGTAACGACTGCATTCAAATAGAAAGTCATAGGAAGAACAGTAAAAAGAAAATTTTTCATCAAAACAATCATACATATTTCGCGAATTTCTCCAAAATTTGATAGCTGATGTAAGAAATTTATGCTACTGAATTTTATTTGTTAAACTATAATAATATTACTTGTAGGTTCCTAGACGTAGTTTTACAATGTCGTTCGGTAATATGCTGTCGAGTGACGCCACTTCAGAAGGCGATGGTGGTCGAGTTGATAAAGAAAAGTCGGAAAGCTGTCACGTTAGCCATCGGCGACGGAGCCAATGATGTCTCAATGATTAAAGGTAATCAAAACTTACTACGTATTTCGAGACATTCATCATCAGCCTATTAATGCCCCAACTGTTCGGGCACAGGCCTTCCCTATGGATGGAATAGGGAGATTGGGCCATGTCCCACCACTCGGCCCCAGTGCGGATTGGCGGGTGCTAATGACTGCAGATGGAGCCGCGACCAACGGCTTAACTTGCCTTCCGAAGAACGGAGGAACTCGAGATAGAAGATTTTTGGTTACCCATCCAATGACCGACCACTGCGAAAGTTGCTTAACTTCAACGATCGCAGCCGAACGCGCTAAACACCTGGGCCATCGAGCTCCTTCGATATTTCGAGACATTAGAATATTCCAAATAACAGATTTTAGAAAAGGTCCTAAGTTTATTTCTTCTAGGAGTGTGCCCGCGTATAGTGGAAGTTTAATAACGCAAAAGGCAGTTTAGGTACTTACTTTATATGTACTAAACAAATGTAATTATTTGTACTGTTGTCAAACAACAACTTTCGAGAAGTTATGTAGCTTGCTAAAAAGATGAAATTCATCTCAAGGTGGTGCCTATATACTTTGTAAATTATAAAAGTTCTGGGGATTGTGTGTACACAAATGACACTTAATTTGCGGTTAATAAACTTTCACCCGCACTCAGTTCCGCTCTCTGTTTTTTTTTATTTTATTTGCTATACCAAAAAATCAGTTGGTTAGCAATCCCATTAATAACACTTAGTTATGTATACTGATGCCAAAGTACGAATTTTTGAGAGTTCCGTAACGTATCGCAACGTCGAACTTTCTATGAAAACTAAGCAAAGCCCCCTATCGGACGTAAAAACAAACTAGTTTTTCCATACGAAATTTAACGATTACGATACTTTGAGGAGCTGTCAAAAATTCGTGCTTGGGCCTCAGGATCGTCAATTTTGTTTCATTTTATTGCTATACAAAAACACACACTTGTCTAGCAATCCCATTAATACCTCATAATTATGTATGCTGTGTATAAACGTTGATTGTCCATTTTCGTCCCCAGCGGCCCACATAGGCGTCGGTATATCGGGCCAGGAGGGTATGCAGGCGGTTCTGGCATCCGACTACTCGATAGCTCAGTTCCGTTTCCTCCAACGACTACTATTGGTCCACGGAAGATGGTCCTATTATAGAATGTGCAAGTTCCTCCGATACTTCTTCTACAAGAACTTCGCGTTCACCGTGTGCCACTTTTGGTTCGCATTCTTTTGTGGATTCAGTGCGCAGGTACTTGTAGTATTAAGTATAATATTGGTAAGAAAAACACCTATATGATATTCAATACTTAAATTCTAACAAGGAAAACGATCCATAAGGAAACCATAGATATCTATTTCGTTATCTATTTTCCTGTAATTTATTTAATTTTCCGTTTATTATGACAAATTAAACGTTTGTTATTATATATAAATTTAAATTCATTTTACAAAAAAATAAGATTGGCAAACATTATACCCATCTAATGGGAAACCTATTTCATAACGAATATTATTTCATAACATTATATAAATAACACCTTTTAATACATATTAAACTTATCGATGTTATTTTAGAACATGGGAGAAAAGAGAAAAATGAAATTAATGTATTTTATGATGATACGTTTTAATTATTACATATCAAAAGGCAATAAGTTTATCTCTGCACTACTAGTGATGTAACGAATGTCATTTTTTGATCATTCGCGAATGCGAATGCGGATGCGAATATCTGGTACCGATATTCGCGAATGCAAATGTGAATGCGAATATTTAAGTTTTTTTTAAATTGGCGCCAATTGTCTATGGCATGGTAGCAGTCTCGTTAGAATTGCCGAGTTGATATGAACTCATCCGACTGAAGTACCATTCCGCTCGCACCGGTCTTTCCGTAAACAGAACAAGTGAATTTTGAGGTTAGTGATTGTGAGTGGTAATAGTGATTTATTAACATGAGTAAATCGAATTCTAGTGAAACATGGACTTATTTCACACTTGCGATGCTGAACGAGCTAAATGCAAACTCTGTAACAATGAATATTCAAGGAAAGGCAGAACTACAACTTCTTCAAATTGTTTTTTTTTCTAATATTCATATTCGCAAAACATTCGCAGAGATTTTGCGAATGCAAATGTGAATGCGAATATTCAAAAATATGCGAATGCGAATATTCGTTACATCACTATGCACTACACTAAATTAGGGTGACCACAGACTATTCGCTTTTATTAAACGTTACGTAAATGATGAAAGGAGTTACAATGAGAAATCATTAACCGCTACACGGAGGAAAAACAAAGAGGAGCTGGCCTAAGCAACTGTGCACTGTGATTTTCAACTAGGTCCTGACGTCATCATTGTGGGCGGGGCCTAAGTCAGTATGCTTTCAGCGTTCGTCAGGTGCACACTTAACGAGACTCGCATTATAAGTGTTTTTTTGCGTTTTTAACAAGAAAAGGATGAAGTTTTGTGTTTTACTATGTCAAAGTTACTCAGACAGACGTTCTGATAATATGGATGGCATCACATTTCATTTGTAAGTAATTTTATACGTAATTAAATATATAAGTTCTAGAACATTCTCAGCCTCAGCTATCAGAGTTAAAATTCTACTACTTGACACCAGATGGCGACACTTTTAGGAAGAAAATACACAAGTTTACGTATAATTTTGCAGTAGTATATTGTAATAATCATACGTAAATACTGAAAACTGTTATACACTTATTCCTAAATAACTTTTAGTATCTAAAACAGTAATTTTATCAATATATTACTAACTGGCTGCCATCTGTCGTCATATAGAATAACTTTTTAAACGTTACAAATATCCAGGGCCGTAATACGTATTAAATTATTTTACCAAGGTAATAAATTTTAATTATTTTTATGTTCGTTTTAGATTTCCATCCAACGATAATTTAAAACAGCAATGGATTTCAAAACTTAATAGACCGGATTGGACACCATAGAAGAAGAAGATATTTCCATTTTAAATGAATCTTCTGTGCAAAAAATTAATATTACATCAGAACGTTATCGCATTTTAAATAAAATGAGTTTCGAGTCTTCGGATAGCACGGATGTCGAGCCTATGCCTGACGATATGTTATTGGAATTTGATGAACAATTAAATACAACTATAGGTGAATAGTAGCATATATTTCTGGGTATGTGGTCAAATATTTACATTCCAAGATTAAATGTGAGAGCTGTCTCAAAGAATTATATGCTGATAACTACGACGATAGTGACCTTGATTTGATAAAAACTAAAAATAAGGGTGGTCTTACTTTCCCATCTAGAGATGTCATAAAAATATGTATACGGACCGAAGGCAGTATTCGTTGTGTTAAATCGCAATCTTTGAATACTCCTAACTTTCGTAAACATAAAATTGTATCGAATACATTAAAATCACTTATTGGACAAGATTGTTTCAAAAAATCGGCCAACCATATGTTTGACCAATCACCTACACTTAATCATGTTGTATTTCTGATGAAATCGATTGCAGAAAAATATATTGATATTCGTTTTAAGCATTTTGCCACAATACAAAACGATAGGGCAACCAACCGACAACAACTAACCAAAACTATTATTTACAGGTAATTGATGTTTTTTAATAAAATTATGTTTGTAATAACATTTTGTTTATTATTTTTAAACTACCTTAAAATTAAAATCTAAAGAAAATATAACTAGAAAAATATCCATATAACTAGAAAAATATCCACGCGGACCAGGCAGCAGACGGGAGCGGGTGCGGGTTCGAGTCCCGTCTGCTGCCTGGTCTGCCTGGATTTTTTTTCATCAAGCAGTTACATGTTTTAAAATAATAAAAATTATACCTTAAAAATTTTAAAATCGGTCAAATTTGTTAACGTTTATTTTATTTATTTACCTACATATTTCATTTTTTTGAAGCTTCAAGTTCTGAGTACGTCCCATTATATACAAAACTTTTGAACATCTAGTGTTAGATAGCTGAACTACTACGTAGTAACATAAATATCAACCTAAGCTAGTTTTGCTATTAGCCGATAGATGAAATATTGAGAAGTGGGCGGAGCTGAACACCCCGCACCCCGCAAATTATCACGCGTCGTTTCTTGAGAAAATTTAATCACCACACCTCCTCTTTGTTTTTCCTCCGTGAACCGCTACCTCTGCTTTGCTTGGTAGCGGTACCCATACGTAAATCATTAATTGTTTTAAACTCCTTTTTATGTGGTCGATGCCATCGATTTCGGAAATATGGACGTTAAACCCTTATAAAAAAATAAGCAACTGTAACTGTCATATCATACATGACATTTCTTGGTGTTTTAAACGCATTACCGGCTCGGCCCCCAGTCCTTTAATCCAATTATTATATGAGAACTTTGAATGTATTTTAAATGTATCTTATTACTCCCATGTTCTAAATTTACGAGAAATTATCGTTTTTGTTTCATTGAATATTCAAAACAAATCTGTTCTCTTTTCATTACGTGTCCTCGAATATAACATTCTCACTTACCGGCGCGAGTCAGAGCCGAAGCGCAGCGCATTTTAGCGCAAGTTAGTGGAGCACTTCCTTTATCACTTCACTTTGAAACTGCGACACACTAGAAAAGGCTCTATCATTGACCTTAGTGATGACAACTACACTGCCCGGTCAAAGACAGAAAAGCTTAGGTTTCGTACTGACGAATGTCAGGCACGCGAACGTCTGCTAGTACTGACTAGCAGACGTTAGCGTGTATTAAATACGTATATATAACTCGTGACATTAAAGATAGAAATCGAAAATCCCCACACTCATATGCTTCTCTCGCACTTATTTAGGATAGCATGTGCAAGAGGAATAGAATGTCTTACGTCGTCATTTGCGATTCTTATCTTTTAATGACACAAGCTATATCTATGTAATCCATCCAACAGACGGTGTTCGACGAGATGTTCATATCGGTATACAACCTATTCTACACATCGCTGCCCGTTCTCGCATTGGGCGTTTTCGAACAAGACGTTTCTGACACCACATCGCTACAGTTCCCCAAATTGTACGCCCCCGGTCACACAAGCCAGCTGTTTAACAAGACGGAGTTTATCAAGTCTACGCTGCACGGCTGCTTCACGTCGCTCGTTCTATTCCTGATACCTTACGGTCAGTAGCTATAGTGATACTATGATAGAATAATACGTATCTGACACCATATCGCTATAGTTCCCCCAAACTGTACACTCCCGGCCACACGAGCTAGCTATTCAACAAGACGGAGTTCATCAAGTACATCGCTGCACGGCTGCTTCAAGTTGCTCGTGTTATTTCTGATACCTTACGGTCAGTAGCTATAATGATACAATGATAGAATAATACGTATCTGACACCACATCGCTATAGTTCCCCCAAACTGTACGCTCCCGGCCACACGAGCTAGCTATTCAACAAGACGGAGCTCATCAAGTATATCAATGCACGGCTGCTTCACGTTGCTCGTGTTATTTCTGATACCTTACGGTCAGTAGCTATAGTGATACAATGATAGAATAGTACGTATCTGAACACCACATCACTATAGTTCCCCCAAACTGTACGCTCCCGGCCACACGAGCTAGCTATTCAACAAGACGGAGTTTATCAAGTCTACGCTGCACGGCTGCTTCACGTCGCTCGTGCTATTCCTGATACCTTATGGTCAGTAGTGATATAATGATAGAATAATACGTATCTGACACCACATCGCTATAGTTCCCCCAAACTGTACGCTCCCGGCCACACGAGCTAGCTATTCAACAAAACGGAGTTTATCAAGTCTACGCTGCACGGCTGCTTCACGTCGCTCGTGCTATTCTTGATACGTTATGGTCAGTAGTAATATAATGATAGAATAATACGTATCTGACAACACATCGCTAAAGTTCCCCCAAACTGTACGCTCCCGGCCACACGAGCTAGATGTTCAACAAGACGGAGTTCATCAAGTCTACGCTGTACGGTTGCTTCACGTCGCTCGTGTTATTACTCATACCTTACGGTCAGTAGTGATAGTAATATAATGTTAGAATAATACGTGTCTGACACCACGTGATATAATGATCGAATAATACGTGTCTGACACACATACATTGATATGGTTCCCTAAACTAGACGCTACCAGTTACACCAGCCATGTAGAACACAAAATTCTTACTCAATATGACACAAATATGGTCTCAATATCAAATAATCTGGTTATCGTAATAAGTTTACTATTCACTCCTGTACCCTTAGTACGAGTTTTACAATTACAAAAACTATGATAGTTTTCGTGAGCTCGCACTCGTTGATTTTATTGCTTTCGTTTCAATACAAATAAACAGTGTTTAAATTCTATCATTAAATCATTTGCGTCTTTTTAAATTTTAATTATATTAGGTTACTCTCTTCACCAAAATGGACATAGAAACATAATTTATAATTACGAAAACCATGATAGTTTTCGTGAGCGCAAACTCGTAGTACCCTTAGTACGAGTTTGTTGTGCTCTCTTATTAATGCCGTCCCATGTTTCAGACTCCAAAAATCAAGAGGTTCATTTCTGGGATGTAGTATTGCATTGTTTAACAAAGTTCCCCAAGATCTGATTGAGCTTCCACTAACCAAATTTAAATCTCAGATTAAGAATACTCTTATGAATAAGGGCTATTATAAAGTTAATGATTATCTAAATGATCGTAATGCATGGACATAGTGTTTCTTGTAATTTCTTATTTGATGGGTATGAGTCAGTTTTGTAACAGTAGTATGGTACCTATCTAATGCCGCTTCCTATATATACTAAATATAAAATTTGTTGTAACTATATATCTATACCCTAAATAATGTAATGGAAGGTGACTTCAGAAGTATGTCTGAAGTCATTTTTCAACTTGACGACTCTGTATATATCAATACAGGGAGAAAAAAGCAGCCCTTGCTGAGTTTCTTGCCGGTTCTTCTCAGTACAAGGTCTCCCGCCGTAGTTTTGCGAACCGATGGCGTAGCTTCTTGACTTTCACAAGTGTTTGTAACAGCCTAGACTGAATAAATGACTTTTCATTTCATTTCATAATAAACGAAGAATAATTTTGGATTAGTTACTTCATGTTTTGTCTCTGTTCATTGAATGGCATTTGTGTGACATGATCAAAACACGGCGGACTAGTCTAAGCTTATTCCTCTTTATTAATAAGGGGGATTATGTTTATAACTTTGAGAAACACAACTTGCAAAAATAAAACTTCTTTTGTTCTTTAACCATAATGTCTTGAAATAATAAATAAGCTATCACTAACATTTCACCAAATTCTCTCGAAAGCATTCTAAGGTTCATTATAAGTTGTAAATTGCATTATTTTATGTGAGTACAACTGTTTTTTCTGTTTGCAGGAACGTACAAAGATGGTCTAGCACCTGATGGGAAAATATTATCAGATCACATGTTATTGGGAAGTGTGGTCGCTACGATTTTAATAATAGACAATACTACACAAGTAAGCTCTCATATTTTTTTTTACGGGTAATATGTTTGAAGCATAACAATATTTTGTATTGATACATTGTCATTTGTTTCAGATCGCATTGGATACAACCTATTGGACAGTATTTAACCATATCACGATATGGGGATCTCTAGTGTCATATTTTGTATTGGACTACTTTTATAACTACGTGATTGGCGGAACATACGTGGGCTCACTCACCGTAGCTCTCACACAGGCTACGTTTTGGTTTACGGCCGTACTTACAGTAAGTAATAATTACGTATATCTTCGGAAGTAATATAGCACAGTAGTGTAGATTATGGCATGATTCTCTAAACTTAAAATAACATTTAACATCAGCCCGTCCTCATTCTGTATAAAGAATAAAAAGGATACACCGTTGTCAAATTTAATTTTAGGTTTAAAAAGTCAAACCACAATCGACACCAATTTATGTATGTAAGTATATAGCTTTAGAAGTATGACTTAATTTTATTTTTCAATCCCTTGATACTACTTATTCGCCTCATAATATAACGATGCTAGGGAAAAAAGGGATATTCACGACTCTGTCTGCGAGGTTTAATTTGGTTTCCCATATTTATTTTCAGACCCCCATTCAGGGGGTAACTCTTCGATTTTTATTTTCATGACAATATATCTATCTATATACTAAAATTCAGAATAATCTATTCAGTAATTAAGGCGTGAAAGTGCATCAAACAACTTTCTTTTTGATTCGGTAGTATTCTTTTTGGAATATAAGTTTTGTTTCTGTAATAACTAATAGGCATATCCAGTTTTTGATCTACGTATGTACTTAAAAACTTCCTATTTCGAACCCCATTAATTACTTTGCAATGGCATTTGTCCTACCACCGACGGGCAGCTAGAAGCGAGCGGAGTTAGAAACCGCGACAAGCAAGCGTCTATATAAATACTGTATATATAAATAGTCGATAGCTAACCGCTACCTCATGGGCGATTGGACAAGTGCCCGATATTTTCGGCTCGCATTATTGCTGTCGAGGAGCCCGATGGCGCAAGTGGTAATCGCATTCCCATGCGATCATTGAAGTTAAGTAACTTTCGCAGTGGTCGGTCATTGGATGAGTGGCCAAATATTTACCGTCTCGAGCTTCTCCATGCTTCGGAAGGCATGTTCTGCCGCTGGTCCCGGCTGCATCTGCAATCGTTTTAGCAACCACCAATTTTCACTGGGCCCGCGTGGTGTGTCATGGCCCAATCTCCCTTTTCCATCTACAGGGAATGCTGTGCGCCAGGAGTGCTTATTAATAGGTTGATGATGATGAATATTAATAGGAATACCCATATTTTGATCTTCGTACTTCAGATCTACCTATTCCGAACCCCGATAAATTACTTTGCGATGGCATTTGTCCCACCGCCGACGATCAGCTAGAAGCGAGTGTGCGGCTCAAATATAGTCGATAGCTAATCGCTACCTCATTGGCGGTGAGACGAGTGCCCGATATTTACCGCTTGCATTCTTGCCGTTCTTACATGACCTTCTCTCCTCAGATGATGATCCTCATGGTGCCCGTAGTGTCGTGGCGCCTCGGCATGTCCCGCGCGCGGCCCACCCTCGGGGAACGTTTGCGAGCGCGCCAGCGTTGGCGCGGCCCCCCCTCCACGCCCCGCACGCCCTCCGCCCGTCGCGCTCGACGTTCCGTCCGGTCCGGGTATGCGTTCGCGCACCAAGAAGGCTTCGGTAGACTCATCACTTCGGGCAAAATCATGCGACGGATACCCCACGCGGACGCAGCGCTATCAGCGCTCGCGTCGCTACCTGGAAAGTTCCACGTGCGACCGACTACCCCACCACCTGAACCGGAACCGCGCGCGCCTACGCAAAACCTGGACACTGTCGATTTATGAGTGAATGAAGTTTAATGACTTATGAGTAATAATTGCCTGGAAAACCTGGGTATTGTCGACTCGTGAACACACATAGCTAACAGATCTAGGTTTTGTTCCGGGCCGCGTTCGCGCACCAAGAAGGCACCAGAATCATGCGGCAAATACCGCATGCCGATGCAGCGTTGTCAGCGCTCGCGTCGCTACCTGGAAAGTTTCATGTCTGACCAACCACCTCATCGCCGAAAACTGAACCGCGCGCGCCTACCAGAACCTGAACACTGTTGACTTATGAGTATATAAAGCTCAAAGGTCAAGGTATGCGTTCACGCACTATAAGCGCTTTGGTCTTCTTCTTACCTGGCAAGATTGTGCGCTTGCATTGCTACCCAGAAATTTCATGAACCTGGGTACCGACGACTCTAGAGTCGTCGTATTGTTCAAGAACAATGCTACTATAATTTAACCAACACTGTCAAGGACGCGTTCCGATGCGCATTTGCGCATCAAAAAGGCTTCGACCAATAACTGGATAATATTCCAATGACCAGTAACTTCATCAGTTGAACTAAGACCGCGTGTGCCTACGCAGTGCACAGAACTTGGATAATGCTGAAATTTGAGCGCCCATATGTTAACACAATCAAGACATTACTGATGGAACCAATTCTACTTTGACTACACCTCTACGATGTTAAATTAACAGTAATAGGTATTTGTTTGCATTGAAACAATGACAGTGGACTAGATGCACTGGCAACATACACTATGAATATTGATCTATTTCTAAGTGTTAAGGATCCAGTCAATTACGAATTGTAACCATCGATGTGGTCTTCGACTGCAAGATTTGTATTTTTTTTGGAAACTGTGATCGTCTCGTTTTCTCTCTTTTCAGTTTCCATAGTAACGAGACAGACAGCCAGTCATAAAGTTTAACGTGCTTTGTAAATCCATTTATAATGCTTTTATCGAATGAATGTTGTGTATGAAAAGGAGACGCTCGCGATTTTCGTACTCGTTGCAGAGTCACAGTTCACGGTCGTTTCCCGGCCAAGTCGGGATGGTCATGATGCTCGATTGGAGCACTAAACCCAATGTAACTATTGGTCGAACTAAGTTCAGATTGTCACGTGATCGGTCGCTTCACCGACCCCCATAAGGTCGATTTCGCCCGCAGTCAAAACGCCACATATCGGTCGCCGTTCGGTTTTGCGATCCACTATCTTTTGGGTCGGGAACGATGTTATGCTAAGGTCACCACTAACGTAAACCTCGAGGCAAACATCATTGAGAAATCATAAAAGACAAAGCTGCTTCAATAGACATTTTATTTCTACTTAAAATTGCTAATGTGCATTCATAATTTTAAACATTTATGTTCAAGATGTTTGCCGCTAGATATACTTCTGCTCCATGCATCGTTCTCGACCGATAAGAATTCGTCGTTAAGCATGAGTAGTTCTCATTATAATTATTGTTAGTGCCAAAGATGATGTCTTTGAAACTTCTGTGAAAAATATGAATGTTACGAATTCGACGTTGCACAATAATTTATTTGTTTGTCAAAAATTAAGTTTCACAAATTATTATTTAAAATTCAAAGTTGATAATATTATTAAAAATGTAGCGTTTTAACTGCATGTGAATGTGGAATATTGCTTTGGAATCGATTTTTTAATAAAACAAAAATATAATTCTTATAGTTATTGGGTTTTATTTTCTTCAAACTTAGTGGAAATCCTTTTCCTCAACTCGAGATACAACATACAGTTTGGCATAGGCTAAGTAACAACACCAAGGCATACTCATTTAAACATAATAAAAATATAGAGTAGTCTACTGATATCTTATAAATATTATAAATGTGAAAGTTTGTTATTCAATCACGCAAAAACGGCTGAACGGATTTGCATGGAAATAATACAAATAATGCGATTCAAATAAGAATAGGACCGACTGGGCGCCATATTGTGATGTCATAGCTGTCAATTCAAACCAAATAGGCAGAGTGAGCAAAAAAAGTTTTTACTTAATAAAATTTATTTCCTAAGGCCGTATACAGAAAGAAAGCCGAAAGCCGATCGGCGCCGATCAGCGCCGATCGGCGCTTATCGGCGCCTATTGACGCTGATCCTTTTTCTATGGACCGGCGCCGATAAGCGCCGACACGCGCTGGTCCGCATAATAAATAATTTGTATTTGAAGTATTATCCTTAGATTAAATCAATCTAAGTTATAATCTTTTTATAAATCTAATAACTTTATATTTTATTAACTAAGCGCTAAAATTATTTGTTTCGTACTTACCGAATGGTGACAACAAGTCTTTCTTCTGGAAGGATTGGTTGTTTATGTTAATTGCCCCAATTTTTCATCAAACGGTTTTTCACTAAATCTAAAATGTAATAAAATGTTTCTTGAATCATTCTTGTGTATGTATAAAATCTTTGTTCATCAAATTTAATTTTTTTTACAAATAAATGATGGTATATAAAACTAGTTTTTACGGATTAATGCACGAAACTTTATTTATTTATTGACGTTTCGCAGCCTTTTCAGGTCTGCATCGTCAGAATAATGATTTTTTATAAAAAATCATTATTCTATTCTTAGGTTTTCACGCACATCACTCATTAAATAAAACTAGTTTTTACGGGTTAATGCACGAAACTTTATTTATTTATTGACGTTTCGCAGCCTTTTCAGGTCTGCATGGCTGCGAAACGTCAATAAATAAATAAAGTTTCGTGCATTAAACCGTAAAAACTAGTTTTATTTAATGAGTGATGTGCGTGAAAACCTAAGAAACAAATAAATGATGGTATTCTCCGAAACGTTTCCTTTCTCTATTTATAGGATGTATAGCTGTTTTTCGCATTTTTAAATCAACATTTTCTAACAAAACCAAATCATCGTCCGATGAGTCCGACATTTTGCTTGATCTGCTTTAATCGGCTTCCTTTATGTAGGAAGGATCGGCGCCGATAAGCGCCGATCGGCGCCGATCGGCTTTCGGCTTTCTTTCTGTATACGGCCTAAGATTAAGTGAGAAAAAGCATCAGATTTTTTTAATAACATTTATTTACTAATATTGAGAAAAAAAAACACCGATTTTTAATAATATTTATTTATTAAGACTGTCAGAAAAGACATTAATCAGAATCTAGCTCTTCTATTCCGCTCATCTCTGCATTACCGCCGGAGTAGTTATGAATAATCATGAACTAACTATTACTAGGTCACATACGAACATGCATCCTTTATGTAAACGAAAGTTTGATTTCGAGTTCCTGAACGCAACTCAAAGTGACATTTGGTTGACGATTTGGGTTATCAACGATTCATGGCCAAAGCTCAATAAGTCAAAAAAATATATCAACCGATATTTAATTATTAATATTTGTTATTGCTTGTTTACAAATGTTTGGTTTTTATGTGGGTTTTTATTATTGAATTAGCGGAGTGCTAAAAAGGGTTCCAAGATTTTTTTGCAAACCGTACTTTTCAAGGGACATTTGACAGATAGAGGTCATTGGCTTTCCTATTCTTATTTGAATCGCATTAAATAGCTTATTGACTGGAATGACACCGATACTTTTTATCCCGAAAAAAAAATTAGGTTCCCGGGGGGGGTTCTCTAAATACGAAATTTGCGGGTTGCCGCTAGTTTTAATATAAAATCATGAAAAAGGCTGTATATTATGGTACTACATCAGCTGACATATGAGGTTTTTTTGGAGGGATTTCATCGAGTGCAGTTGGCGTCTTATTTTAATTGTTCTTTTTCGTTCATAGTTGATATTGTAAAATAAAATTGGGTGGGATTTTGTGTTACAAACGTCTGCGCAACTGAAGAATTAGTGGAATCTTTAAAATATACACCATTTCGGTCAAGTGGACGTGAAAACTTTATTATAGTGTTGCCTACTTCACAGAAGCTTATCGAGACAGCTGGCTCGATACATTTTGTGCCAAACACTCCAAGAAACATTCTAATGTAAAAGAACAAAACTGGAAACCAAGCTGGTCATTATTTCCTTTGCCTTCCCTAAAAAGGGAGACTGTTGAAATAAACAGGTGGCATGAGTCTCTAAAGCGAAACTTAAATTTGACAATAGTGTATCTTTGTCATTCTCTATACAGAATGAAAAAGACAGACTGATGTTAAATTTAGTTTTAAGTTTAGAGAATCCTGCCAGAATCGACACCAATATTAATCACTGTAAAGGTTGCTGATTCCCTTTAAACAAAGTTACTCTATGCTGATGACCCTGGAGCCAAAGAGGAAAATCTGAAAAAAAAAAAAATTTTTAGAGGTTAGTATTTCTTGGCGGCATTGTCTTAAAACAGCCACAAGTTATATTAAATCTCTAGAATAGGTAATAACCTGTGTGTTTCAAGTTGAAAATGAGTGAATATTATCATATAGTTCCATGGTTTAATAGTGCAGAGTGGCTCCAAGTTTATGAAAATATATTTATACATCACAACAAAGAAACAGCACTCCAAACAATATTGATTTGGAAATCCAGATGCCCCTCTTTACCTTCTGGAATAGAATCAACACTTAGTCTATTAGAAGTGTTAATACAAGATGAAAATGCTACCAATATTGCCAATGACCAGTTATTACGTCTAGCATACTCATCAGCTGTAATGCGATTTGTTAACCATATGCTTGACACTGAAACCGCCAAAGGTACTAGCTTATATAAAGCTGCAAAAAATATGGAAGTGCCAGATTGGATTATAGATTTACGACACGATACAGCTCACAGTAACAATTTGCCTTCAATTGAATTACTTCGAGAGGCATCTCAGATTGGTCTAGAATGGCTTGAACGGAATTATTGGGTCAAGTATAAGGAATGTATTAATAATTTCGTTACAGGAGAACAACATATACAACCAGAAACTCCTGAAACTAACAAAATAGCATTGGTGATGCATTTCTGCACATCACTTAGCTTTTGCGCTCATTCTAAATGTAAATTCATAAATTTGTCGGAAATTCCAGACCCAAGTTTAAGAGAATCTATTGTTAATGATGCAAGAGATTTATTTGGAGATCATTATGATTTTTCTAATTTAAAAACAGTATCTGTTCAATCATTAGTTAATATTCTTGACTTAAATTCCAGGATGTTATTTAAAAATAAAGATTCCATTTCATATGCCATACAATCTTTACTTGGAGATGAGTCTTTATTTCTATCATCAGAACTTTTGAATTTTATGGGAAATGAAGATTTTTATCACAAAAAGAAATTATCTGCAAGTTATATGCAATGTTTTGAATTATTGCTTACTTTCCTTCATTCTAATGACATCCTACAGGATTTTGTATTAGAGTTGATTGAAATTACAAACAAGACTGATAATGATGACTGCAAAAGTTTGTTAGCTGCATTATGGATTTCAGAAATTTTAAAAGCTTTAGATAAAACTAAACAATTTATAGAAAGACTAAAAAGGTAATAACATAATTTAAATTATTTTTTATATTTTACATACAACAATTGCACAATTTTATGTAATATAGAATAAAGCAACAATATAGAAAAAAAATATGAAAGCGGATCAATTTAGGCATGGATAAATAATGTATTCAGCCTTTTTTGGGTTCAAAAATCACTCTTAGTACCTTATGATAAGGGTTTGAATCAAGCGACAAGTTATTAATTGTTAGAACTTGTGCATATCGCACAAGTCGCGGCACTGTCACTTATGCAAAAACAATTTTTTTTCAGGATGAGCGTTTAAAACTTTAACATCCCAAAACATACAATATTTAAAGATTTTTATGTGATGAAAAGCTTATGCAGCTTAGCTATTCATCCAAAAAATTAATTTTAATTTTTCTTTTTTAATGCTTTGGGATGTTAACGTTTTAAATGCTTCTCCTGAAAAAGTTTTTTTTGCATAAGTGACAGTGTTGCACCAGGGGTGCGATATATTTGTTTCATATTAAAGAATTATGCACCAAAGTTACTGTTGCAAAATACACGAACAAAGTTTCAAATTGAATAAATAAATTAAACGCAAGAATATGTAGATAAATCCATTTAATATTTCTGTTCAAGACTCCTGAGTTTTTTTTTTATCACAGTTTCGACGGTCACTGTTTAGCCAGTGTTGTGCCCTGAAGAGAAGGAATGGCGAATTTTTTGCAGTGAAAGCACAACCTGGGTTTTCTTAGCATCAATGCTATTGGACCAAGTTCACTGTATCCCATTCAGAAATTAGGTCCAAAGCCTGATTGAGTTCAGTGACAAGATTCTCTCGTTCCTCCTTGGTTCCCAGGTGGAAACCCGGACATAGACTTGTCCAGCCACTGCATGTTGAAGTTCCCACATGCACTGTACTGTCGACTAGATAGCTACAAATTTTCCCAAGTGGAATTTAATTAAATCGTTAATATGCAGCAGAAAGGGTGTGGGGGATATGATGGAGGCCTGAGGAACACCACTGAGGTGGCAGCTATCGGCAAAAAGTTGCCTAATGTGTGTGGTCCCCTTTTTGGACACCGCAGACATTAGCACATTATCATCTCCCAAGCCTCCGGCACACGCCCCAAAGAGTGCGAGAGTTGGTACAAACACATAAGCATTGGAGACAACTCCAATTCAGAATATTTCAGTCCAACAGCTTGGATGCCATCGGTCCACTAGCTTTCATATTGCCTGATTTTAATATCAAGCATCTTAGTGCCACAATGAGCTAATAACGGTGACTGTGCAGTGGTACCAATCATCAATTCAGGAGTTAGACGTAAAGAGCTAAAGAGCTTTGCCAATATATCGCCTTTTTCCTGCGTCTTATGAGCTAGTGATCCCTTAGGACATCACAGAGGTGGTAGCGAGAATCATCAGACCTCACGAGTAGGCGACACACCATGAAACCCGGCGTTCATACCACTCTGCTATGGGGGTCGTATAATTATATTTTTTATTTCCCTGACATCTGGGGCGTAAACAGTTTAACACTGGTTTAAAAAGTATCTAACATCTACTTGGGCTTTAAGCTTGGAAGAGTTCCTCCTTAATTTAATTCTTTTTTTATATAGATAGGAGTACATTACAACAGCTTTAATAATTAACCATTTGTATTTGCAGTTCAGGTTCCACTAATGTTCAATTGAAGAAAAAACAGGAATTGAAATCATTGTATCATCATTGGTTTCCAAATGAAAAAGTCAAGGGTCTTGTGCTTGATATGCAGAAACCAGTTCCACTACTACTGACAGATATACAATTTCTACAGCCAATTATAACTACATACAACCCTTATTTGAAGTACTTTATAAAAGATCTTCTTAACTTAGTTGAACCTCGTTTACCAAAGATTGTTACAGAGAATATAAGTAATTTAGCTGAATTGATATCATCTCCAGATAAATTCCCAGCAAAATCATCAAAAATTTACACAGTGGATGATTTGATGGAACATGATAATAAAACATCTGATAATGGAAACTGTGATATACCTATGAAAATTGTGTTGCCTACTGAAGAAATACAACAACATATGAGTTATGGTGTTTGGAAGAAATGTTCTAAAACTCACAACTGGAGTTCATGCCCTATTGGGCTTTTGCCATGGCAAGAAAGATTTTGAAATTATAATGTTGTGGACCCAGGGATTGTTGCATTATTGCTTAGTAAATAAAATATATTTCTCACAGCATTTTTTTTTTTTTATAATTTGTATACAGGTGTAATGTTTTGGTTACATTTTATATAAACCGACTTAATATCAACATGGAAAAAACTAAGATCATGCAATTTCATTCTTACCAAAGTAAACCTCTGTCTGTTAAACCATGTCATAATAAGGTTCTTATTGAAAGAGTTGAATCTTTTAAATTTCTTGGTACAATTCACAGGTACAATTGTTGATAAGAATTTAAACTGGAAATGTCATATCGATTCTGTCTGTTCGAAAATAGAAAAAATCGTTTTTGCCTTAAAAAGGTTGAGACAAACAGTATCGACAGAGGCTGCGCAAATGGCTTACCACGGATATGTTTCATCCGCCTTAAGTTATGGACTGCTCTTATGGGGTAACTCAGTAGATATCGATAGGGTTTTTAGGATGCAAAAAAATGCATTAGAATGTTAGATGGTGCTTGGTTTCTCGAAAGCCGCAAACCCTTATTTAAAAATTTTGAAATACTTCCATTGCCCTGCATGTACATAAAGGAAGCATGTTTATTTGTCAGGGATCACAGCAAGTATTTCGAGAAGCGCGTAGAAATGAGCAATAGACACACGAGATGTCAATATAGATACTTATTATATCAGCCTCCTTGCCACGCATATATTTATAAAGTTAATGCTTATAACATATTAATATGTATATATAATAAATTACCTGACAATATAAAATTAGAAACTGGGACACTGTTTAGAAGTAAGTTGACAAAATGGTTACAAAAAAAATGTTATTATAGTATTAAGGAATATATGACAGATGAAAAAAATAACTGACTGCAATATTTGCACACCTGCCTGCAGGTAGAATACACGTACTTACTTAATATGTATCAACTTGTGAACTGTATTTTGGCAAATAAATTAAATTATTATTATTATTATTATACAATTTCTACAGCCAATTATAACTACATACAACCCTTATTTGAAGTACTTTATAAAAGATCTTCTTAACTTAGTTGAACCTCGTTTAGAAAAATTGTTACAGAGAATATAAGTAATTTAGCTGAATTGATATCATCTCCAGATAAATTCCCAGCAAAATCATCAAAAATTTACACAGTGGATGATTTGATGGAACATGATAATAAAACATCTGATAATGGAATCTGTGATATACCTATGAAAATTGTGTTGCCTACTGAAGAAATACAACAACATATGAGTTATGGTGTTTGGAAGAAATGTTCTAAAACTCACAACTGGAGTTCATGCCCTATTGGGCTTTTGCCATGGCAAGAAAGATTTTGAAATTATAATGTTGTGGTCCCAGGGATTGTTGCATTATTGCTTAGTAAATAAAATATATTTCTCACAGCAATTATTTATTTTTTTTATAATTTGTATACAGGTGTAATGTTTTGGTTACATTTTATATCTCGACACATTACAAGAATCCTAATATTAAATTTAACAATATACACATTATATATTACAAGATTCATTAATGATTAACATATAGGAAACCTCACAGTCAAATAACATACAGAAATATAAAATAACGACTTGTAGATAGCATAGCAAATAGGTATTGGTCCTTAGAATACGACTATAGATCCAGTATACATGGCAAGCAATTGTTTTTAAACTGTAGTAATATCAAAGTAATATCATGTATAAAAACTGCTTTTGCTCTACTCTACTCTTAAATTTGTATAGCAAGAACTTCTTAAAATAACTGTAGCTTGGTAAATGATTTGGGTATGTATATGAAAAAGATTTAGATATCACTCCTGAATAAATTTACAATGTCTTTAAAAGGAGGCCCTAAGGGGTTCATGAGTAAAATTTGTACAATTCTAAAAACCGAACAAATTTTCGAAACTGGACTTGGTAACTTTTAGTCCAATTTCATGTGGAAATTAAGTAGTTCTCAACTGGGTTAAAGATAATGAATTTGCTATATACCTGTTTAGTATCCAGTTCCAGTCCAGTTTCGAGCCCCAAATAATAGTAGTAAATATAAAAAATATATTTTTATTTAAACAGGCACCAGTTGGGATCAAATTAATTTATAAAAATGAAATGATAATTGACAGGCACTTTGTAAACTAAAGTAGCTGATAGCCATTATAAAAGTCAATAGTTATAGTATTTTCTAAAATAGTAACTAAGCTACTATATTATTTACAAAACGGAACTCGCGCATTTTATCTACACACATTCTAATTTTAGTGTTGATAGTCCTAGATAAAGACACATTGCACATTTTATTGACAACATTACCAAATAACTTATATCAAATTACATTATTGAGTATGTCTGATCTTGGGGCATTTTGTAATATTCAGTAAATTATAAATACTTGTTACTAACAGCTATGTACTATGTATAAAGAAACGCCGAAAGCATTATTAAGTATATAATATGAATTTAACAATATATAGAACGTCATAGTACTACAAATAATAACTACACCAGCTAATATATTGGCAAAGTCTGCTAAAAGCAAATTTGTAGTGAAAGGCACAGAAAATACAGTAGATTACTGTGACACAACCCCATTAGAAGAAAGAATTACTTCTTGTGATTCAAGTTTCGTTTTTGAAAATATGAATTAAAATAAATTAATTGTGGTATTTAACCACTCATTTGAACAATTGTATTGAGATTCTACTTGTTATAGAACCCTAACATTTGTTATCATTGTAATGTTAGAGTAATTAATCATTAAAATATTGAGCTATAAAAAATATCTAACAATATTAGAGAAAGCCTTAATACAAATGATATAAGTAGTCACAGAATCATTCGTTGTTTGAATAATAAACAGTTTAATACTAAAGAAAAAGCAGATAAAATATTTGTGACTTACATAATAAAATTAATAGCTTATCGTAGACAGTCTTTTTGATTATGAAAGCAATAAACGATAAAATAAGGTACTGACATTTTCGATAGAAACATGAAGGTAGGTATTTAATATGTATTATAATATTATAACAGAATAACGTATTTTCGTTTTGTGTAAAATGTATGGCAACCTTGATGAAAGGATGTGTCATGGTGTAATAATAATTATGTAGTTAAATGTCTTAAAACTTCGCATTGAATTAATTATAATAAAAAGTTATTGTAAAAAATACCTATAATAAACGTATGAACTACTACATAATGAATTACACTTTAAATTCAATATACATAATGAATTACACTTTAATTCAATAAAATTAATCTTGTTTCGATGGGACCAAAAATTATCTGCTTGAATAAAACAAGGTTAGATGGATCATTTATTGTAGAAGTTTATATGTTACTGACAATTAAAATATATTTAAAGAAATGGAATAAAAAAACTGCATGCATTTAAAAGACTAGTAATTTATAAAATTAAGCATAATTGATTCTGTTTTAAATTTTTGTCATGTTGGCCAATTCTATTAATTTGATGTCATGCACGATATTCCACCAATGCTATTACGAGTCAAATCACTAAATTTACGCTAACGGTAATAAAATGCCTAAACAACAAGAAATTGCAGAAATTAATTTTCTATATCTGTAAAAACTGCTTACATCTATAAATTTTATAATCATCACAATCATATTTCAATACAATCTCCAACAAAAAGGCGTTTTTCGAACACATTTAACTGATAAAAATAATCTTAAAAAACAATATTGCTATTTTATAAATCACAATTAGATAAGATTTACATATTTACAGAGAAAATATATCATAAAATATAATGTCAGTGCAAAGATATATTCACATAGGAAAAATATTTCTCATTTACATCATCAACGTATTTGGACGCGGACAACCAGACGCAGGGCCGGTAGCGTATTAGTAGTACGTACGCATGCTCACTTACGCTCTAAGTACATATCCGTTACTCTGCCGCGTTATACGTATCGCGCGCTATTCGAGGGCGAAGCCAACCTTTTAGATCACGCAACTGTACAGATGTTATTATTAGTTATAATATGCACTACCTGCCTCTCATGTATGGCAAGATGACTCGGTAACGAAGTCTCAAAATGTAACAACAATCTTAACACTACGTTTTTTTAAATCGTATTATATAGATTCAACGTTCATCTATAATGAAAACAGTTAGAAAAAATGTTAACGAGGAATCAATACTCTTTACTCTATAAAAAATTAATAATATAAGGGGCAATAACAGATCCGGTGGTTAAAATAGACATCATACATATTGCCTTTTACTGCAGCTTTTAAATTACGATATCGGTAAAATTTATCTAATTCTAGATATCCAATTATGTCAATTTGTGAATGCAAAAATCCCACGAGTAGACCGTTAGCGATTTATAAACAACACTACCAAACTTTAGTGGGGCTGTTTATTAAATATTGCCCATATCCAAAACTTTAAAGTTATTCTAAATGAGAAAAATATTTATGGTAATGTTTCAGTTTTCATCACAGTATGATGCTGGAAGAACATTCATGTAAACTTCTTTGAAGTTTTCACAGCCAATGGCTTGAACTTCCTCCTCGTTTAGCCTTTTAATTAATGGAAATGCAATTTATGATAAGTAGTTTAATCGATATAGATACGTGGACCACGTACATAATTTATTTTTACATTAAGTTTTGTTCATGCCGTTTGTATTCATATTAAATGGACGAATGATGTATGTGTTGAATTGCGGTTGTCCGAACATAAGTGACGGTTGAATATTCAAACATTTCTCAGTTGGTTATAGGTAAAGTGAACTAAGTTTTTTATTAAATTTAGTATTTTGCTGAAAACTGACCGACCAAACATAGGTGTTGTGTGAACATGACGAAGTCGTTAATGTCGCGCCGACGGAGTTAGAATACAACTAACTACATAAAAAATCTAAGCGGTCTTTTTATTACCGTTAAAATCCCCACTCTGATGGTTGGTTTAGTTTAAAAAAAATAGAGTGCAGAAAAAATGAAGGCTTGCAGTAGTAGCCGGTATAAATAGCTACATGAAAAGGTTGTCCGAGGAGAGCCATCTCATCGACGATGTTCTACCTAACAAATTGCTGTATGAATATGTGAACCTTAGCTGTTTGTTTTATTTAACACATTTTTTTATAAACTTGTGTGAAAAATCTCATCACAAAGCCTATTTATGAATGATTCGTAATCTTTCGATCCCTGCAGGGAATGAATTTAGACAATGTAATACCAGTTTACAGTCGATATGTCTTTTATGGAGACTGAATTACAAACGAACTATTCTTACTCGTAAATAGAGATCCGGGTAGTTATTAATTCGGTTTACAATCATTTTGCAATGTTTATTAGGAATCAATGGTGTCGTCTCAATAGTAGGTTAGGTTACACCATGGCAAGCAATTTATCATTATTGATTTGATTTATAATTATTTTGCGTTGTTTATTCATACCGGTATCGTCTTGATAGTGTTTGTTACATTAAAATGACCCCATTTTTCGGAGCAAAGCTGTCGATACAGTATTCGCAATGAGCGCACAGAATTAACCTTAAAATGTATTTCCCGTTTATGAAAAATTTCACACGAGAAATTCAACATTATTAATTCGGTTTATAATAATTTTGCGATGTTTATTTGTACTGGTATCTGAGACCGGTGGTTTGTTACACGATTATAATGAGAGTTGTCGGTGCAACAGCCGCTGCGAGCACAGGGAAAAAATAAATTTTAAAAATGCATTGCCTTTTTACAGTCTATAAGTAGAATGCAAGTATAGTTTACAGAGACTGGATTTCAAACGAGATTTGCAACATCATTAATTAGGTTTATAATAATTTTGTGTCGGTGTCGTTTTGATTGTAGTTGTTAAACCATATTGGGGTCGTCGAAGGAGAGCTGTCGATGCAAATGTATTGCTGGTTTACACGGTATTATGTCGTTTATGGACACTGAAATTCAAACGATCAATTCGGGTTATAATGATTTTGTGATCTATATAGTCATACCCGTCTTTTCTTAATAGTGATTAAACCATTATGGGGTCGTCAGAGGAAAGCTGTCGATGCAACAACCGTTGGGAACGCAGTGAGGCGGCGCCCGCGCTGAGGTCGTCGGTGCTGCCAAACTCGCCGTCGTGGTCCGTCGTCGATAAGAGATCGTCGTCAGATGTCGCCCTGGTTACATAATATACCCCGTTATATTATAAATTATTCCCTCTTAAATCAAGCCCTGATAGAGGAGCTCGATGGCGCAAGTGGTTAGCGCGCGCAACTTTCGCAGTGGTCGGTCATTGGATGGGTGACCTAAATTTTACTATCTCGAAATTATACTATACTAGCGACCTGCCCCGGATTCGCATGGGTGTAATGTAGATACTAATGTGGGGCAGTATACTATACAAAACATATCATAAACCTTCCCTTTGAATAACTATCTATTGCTGAAAAGTATATAAAAATCCATTGTGTAGCTTAAACGTTAAAGCGTATTATCCATAGCGTATTATACTATCCATATATCTTCGGCTTGCGCAATGGTCAATCATTGGATGGGTGACCAAAAACTTAGTATCTCGAGGAAGGCACGTTAAACCGTTGGTCCCGGATGCATCTGTAGTCGTTAGCACCCACCAATCCGCACTGGGCCCGCGTGGTTGGTCATGGCCCAATCTCCTTATTCCATCCATAGGGAAGGCCTGTGCCCCAGCAGTGGGGACATTAATAGGCTGATGATGATAAAATCAAGCCCGATGGCGCAGGTGGTTAGTGCGTTCGGTTTGCGATCGTGGGATAAACGCATCGCATAGTTTAAAATTGCAAATAAAAAGTTGTCTAACTCTGACCCCCTTATTAATAAACGAGGAATAAGCTTAGACTAGTTACACTAAATTTTGTTTATATCACTCAAATGCCATTTGTTATACAACAAACAGAGAGAAAACATAGAGTAACTAATCCAAGTTTATTCTTCGTTTAATAATATGGGGTGAAAGTGTAATGTCAGACGGAGGGCAAGGCAACGAATAAGAAATGATATGGAAGCATTACTCTCTAACAAAGACTGCTAAAACATAGTTTGAGGCTCATACAACTAAACTGTAATACTAACGGGACACGCACACAGAGAAAAATTACGAATCAAATAAATTCGACTGGCCATTCATTGGGTAAGATAATGTTAAACTAAAATCTCCAAAAACCATGGTAGCCGTGTTGATCGCAGTTTTTTCGCCCCGCCCACTTGATCGCAGTTTTTCTTCCATATCACTTCTAATTTAAAAACATTTCCATATCGTTGGTGCAGGGGGAGGGAATTAGCAATGATTTAATATTTAGGTTGACCGTGATTATAACTAAGTAGGGATAATAAGAAGCGAGGAGCTCAGAGGCACGCGATCTTGGATGTTATATAACTTTATAAATGGCCGCTCGTTAAACGGGTGACCGAAAACTTTTCTATTTTATTTATTTATTTTTAAACTCACACCACTTAGCTCAGCTCCAAAGTAAACACTTAAAGGCTATGGGATGCTAAAACTAATTATATCGTGCTCCTCCGCGCTTCGGAAGCCATGTTAAGCCGTTGGTCTCCGATGCATTCCATTAATCTCTTCACACTTGATAGATCATGGTCCTTTCTCCTTATTCTGTCTATAGGAGAAGCTTGTGTCCCAGAAATGGGGATATTAATAGGTTGTAATGAAATATGGCGTAGGCATATATAAATCTCGTCTATTATTCTGTATCTTGTGGTTGTGCCCCCCCTCCAGGTTCTGTTGCTGGCCGGGGCTGATATACTGTCACCCGAGGGGATATAGTGGCAGCTGATATACTGTCGCCCGAGGGGATATAGTGGCAGCTTACCGAAGCTTTAAGACAAGTAGGAGGCGAGGATGGCCCTCTTCTGTATCTCGTGGATGTGGCCCACCAGGATATATTTCTAGCCGGGGCTTATATACTGTCGCCCGAGGAAATATAGTGGCAGCTCACCTGATGAGTGTAGACAGGTTGGAGGCAAGGATGGCCTTCTCCTTCTGTATCTCGTGGATGTGGCCCACCAAGATCTGTTCTTCAGGCCGGGGCTGGCGAGAAGCACTTCGCAATGAAGAGAGGCGATTGTTGGCAGAATAGCAAGCGCTATCCAATTCTGCGATGTCTTGCAGCATTCCACGGATCTGGGGATGTCAGACAAATAGATATTATCTATCACTATTGACTTTAATGCTTGTTAAAGAGACGGGTTACCCATTCGGTTGTTTTCCCAAAGATAAACACAGTGTCCATTTTAAACTTTAAATTTAATTAACCTTGCTTAAAAAATCGTCTCTGTTCACTGCAACTAGTCGGTGGATTACTTGATATAAAGATATCCCAACATTTGCTTACAAAAGACAGAAAACTTTGGTGCATGTGAAAGACAGCTGTCACTGGCCAGAGTAAGGGCAACACCGCCTAGAGTAGTGTAATTTACCAGAACTTGTAGGTACAGTGCGATTAAAACTTTTAAACTTAAAACTTGGGATTGCAAAAAACTAGTTGTTAGCGGGCGGCCATAATCTAATATATAAAATTCTCGTGTCACGGTGTGCGTAATTGAACTACTCCGAAACGGCCCGACCGATTTTCGTGAAATTTTAAATGCATATTCAGTTAGTCTGAGAATCAGACAAGATCTATTTTTCATCCCCCTAAATGTTAAGGGTGGTCCATCCTTAATTTTTTTTGGACAAAATTATTTGTTTTTATTTTTTTATGATACATCATACAAAAATACATAGAACTCCAAATTTTCACCCTTCTACCACCAACTCCTATTTTTTTATGGCGGTGCGAAGTTCGTTATAACAGCTAGTACTATAAAATAATAAACAATATATAAACATACGGTGCGCATCTTGTCGACGAGGATGGCCTCTAGACAGGCGGTCTGCCGCGCGATGTCGTGCAGTGAGTCTTGTGCCGGCTGAATTTTATGTGTACGGAGAATGCACGGCGCGAACACTATAGCCAACGCGTTGGGGCCCATCCTGTTTAAAAACAAATTAAAATAATCATCATTATCAGCCTGTAATTGTCCCCAATGCTGGGGCACAGGCCTTTCCTTTGGATGGAATAGGGAGACTGGGCCATAATCTACGCAGGCAGAGAGAATAGAGCGCCATAAGACACGGTCCGTACACACATTTTCGCTTTATTCACATTCATTACTCTTTTCATAATCGCCCACTGGTTTTTACTGCTTCTGACATCACTTACCTTTAAAATACGATCAAGTTGATCGTGATAGGTGAGTATTGGCCTTCCTGGGTTTTTAAATCCTTCCCTCATCATCATCAGCCTATTAATGTCCCCACTGAAGAGGAATAAACCTTTCCTATGAATGGAATAGGGAGACTGGGCTGTGATCCACGATGCGGGCCCAGTGCACATTTGTGGGTGCTAATGCAGCTGGGACCAAAGGCTTAACGTGCCCTCCGAAGCAAGGAGAGATCGAGATAATAAGTTTTTGGTCACCCATCCAATTGACCATTGCGCAGGCCAAAGATATAGATAGTATAAAACAAAGCTCCCGCTGTCTGTACGCTTTAACGTTTAAGCTACACAATGGATTTTATGTACTTTTCAGCAATAAATAGTGATTTCAAGGGGAAGGGTTATAATATGTATTGTATAGTATACTGCCCCACATTAGTATCTACATTACACCCATGTGAATCCGGAGCAGGTCACTAGTATACAATAAACAGTTGGAAAATTATTTGAAACATATTTGTACTTTAATGTGGAATTTATGCAATGCTATTTAGCGTCTTTTTAATGCATTCGGTGTTTATGTTTACCATAACAGATTGTTTCACTAGAGTATATAGTTAATCTTGTAAATAGTTTTAAGTAATGTGCAAAGAAACACTGGTATACCATATAATAAATGAATTAATGCTTAATAACAGTTTCTTCTCATATTTTTGTTATTAGATTTTGGTTATCATTTAAACTTATTCATATCTTTATAGTGAAAGATAGGCTTCCATTCCACACTAAATTTGAAAAATAAAAAACTATTAATTTTTTTATAATAATTCAATAATCATGAATCATCATTCAGATTAACGGAATTAACATAAATTACATTTTTACAGTAAAATTGTAACTTAGTTTTATGAAGTTAATCATTGGGTATCATTTTTCAGCACTTACCTGTTGTGGTCTTCTACAAGCGCCACCCTCGCTAAATGAAATATCAATCTTTCTACAAGGTCGAAATTAGGTTTCGGTAATTTCCTCAGTATTGAAAATATACTTGATACTCGTTCCTGGAAAAAAAAGAGATCATGTTTGTTGAAGTTCATAATCATCATCATCAGCCTATTAATGTCTCCACTACTGGGGCACATGCCTTCCCTATGAACGGAATAGGGAGATTGGGCCATGACCCACCACGCGGGCCCAGTGCGGATTGGCGGGTGCTTACGTCTGCAGATGCAGCCAGGACCAACGGCTTAACGTGCCTTCCGAAGCACGGAGGAGCTAGAGATAGTAACTTTTCGGTCACCCATCCAATGACCGTCCACTGCGAAAGTTACTTAACTTCAACGATCGCAGCCGAACGCGCTAATCACTTGCGCCATCAAGGCCGACAATTAATACAAATGATACGAAGAATGCATTAAATAGCTATTCTGGAACTGTACTCATTTAGTCCCAGCATTTATTCCTGACTAGACGTAATTCAACGTCCTTTCAAATAATAATAATAGGTCGTAAAGAACATGGTAGAAGACTGACATTGTTTTTCATTGCCGTTTACTTATGAGTAATTAAAATCAGAAACATTATCTCTCTGTCAAACAGTAGTAAACGCTGCTGAAATAAAGCAGCACTGCGTAATTTTATTACAACTGTAACATTGTGACGGAAGCAATTTGCTATCATCCTACCAACAAATTATAATGTAATACTAACTGCGCTAAAAAGCGAGGCGAAAAACTAACTGCGATCACAACACCGATCATAGGATTGGTTGAGATTACCGTTTAACATTATCTTACTCAATGAATGGATAGAAGAATTCATTTGCAGATATTTGATTTGTCAAAGTATTTTGTTTTGTCTGTGTGCATGTCGCGTTAGTATTGAAGTTTATTCTATGATTTTGGAACCTTGTTTTACCGACCTTTGTTAGAGAGTAATGATTCCATATAATTTCTAATTCGTTGTTTTCATCACACTTGTGGCTCTATGGTGATTACGTCACATGCCCCTTTATTCGTTACTAGCGGCCGCCCACGACTTCGTACGCGTGGAGTTAGTTAGAAATAAAGGTTCACTTCGTTCCCCGTAGGTGATAGCGTGATAATATGTAGCCTATATACTGACCCGACTTCTTAATAATATTTGTGCCAAATTTGAAGTAAATCCATGCAGTAGTTTTTGATTTTATTTGGACATACATACAGATAAACAGACCAAAATTCTAAAAACTATATTTTTGGCTTTGGTAACGATTGTAGACAATTCACATCCCCTGTATTCTTTTAAAAAAATATTCAATGTACAGTTTTGACTTTCCTACCATTTTATTATATGTATAGATTTGATTCCATCTACTCACCTGCGGGTCGGAGATCTCGGCGGCCAGTATGAAGTCGTCGTAAAGGTCGAAGGTCAGCAATGGTTCGGGAAGGTCTCGGAAGAAACCCTTAAGTACTGACGCTCGTACGTGGACAGCGTACAGTTCTAGCCTTTCAACACCTTCCTCGGGCCGCTCGTCTAATACGCGACGTAACTCTCGCACCTAATTGAGGTAATATAGATAGTATAAAAGGCTTATAGAATGACATAAACATAGGAAACTATTTATACCGGAAAAAGGTTTTATTCTTGTGGAATTCTGAACAAACTAAAACGCAGATCTCTCATAGGCATCGGCGGCCAGTATGAAGTCGTCGTACAGGTCGAAGGTCAGCAATGGTTCGGGAAGGTCTCGGAAGAAACCCTTAAGTACTGACGCTCTGACGAAGTGAAACTTCTTTAGGCACGCTTGGCTTGGGGGTAAGCTGGCGAATGCGTTACGAGTTATGAAAAGTGTGTTCGAGCGAGGCGGACTGCAGTTGAGTGGGGGATATATGCAAGAGAAAACAGTGCGCGCGCACATTTTCTTTCTCTTATAGCTAGTAAATGAAATATGTATATATTGTACACACACACATAAATATATATATATACATACAGAAGATTCACTTCAGTCGTGTGGTCATAAGCACATTCATTTTTTTTTGTTCTTGTGGAATACTGAATAAACTTATACGCGGATCTTTCATAATCATGTAATAATAAGTTCAATATCCAATTGTGACCACCAACCAAGCTTTGACCAGATATAATGTGTTTGGGACGAACTCATAGAAAAGCATGCAATTAAACATGACCCAGATCACAATATGAGAACTACATATATCAAAATTCGAATTTTACCATAAGAGGATAAGATTGAACTTCAAGTTACTACTACTCAACTAGTTAGTTACTAGTTAGTTCTCAACTTTACTAATCATAGCAGAGTTATCGCTTAGTGAGAAATAATTAAATTCTCGCAAGTCGAATCATAAAAAGAATTAAAAACCATTATTATTATTTGAGATTATTGGGCTATGCAATTCTAAGGGGTTCAGGGCTAACAGAAGTTTAATTACGAAATTATACACACATACCTTAGAACTAAGTCCACTCTTTCTGTACAACCCCTCTGTATAAAGCCCAGTCATTTCTATCGTGGTTATGAGTCGGTCTACAACTACCGGTATATTGCTCTCTCCTGTCGGTAATTCACTCAGTGGGACACCAAATACCTGAAAATAATAGTATTTAATAATTATACAAGAAGCCTGTAGAATCGTTTTTTGAAGTTATACTTCTTTAGCCGCGTTATGAAAAAAATATGAGAGTGAAATTTTAAGATGCGCGCGCATCACTGTAACACAAAAGTAACATAATGAAGTTAGCCGCGGGCGCGTTATGAAAAAATTATGAGAGTGAAATTTCGAGATGCGCGCGCATCACTGTAACACAATAGTAACACCATGAAGTTGGCCGCGGGCGCGTTATGAATGTTAGTGTCTAATAATGGTGGATTATTAACCACTTAGTGGTTAATAATCTACCATTATTAGACATCTGTTCGAAAGGTACTTTGAACGATCCACGGAGCTCCATAAGATGATCGCGTTGTCAAAAACAATGTTGGCACGCTCGTCGCCTCTGATCACTGTTTTCATATTTATAATATTTATCCACATGTTTCTAGTTTCTATATAGACACAACGTGTTTTAGTTACTTACAAGTGCTAATTACATATGGACTAATAACTTAAATTCAGTACTGATTTTAATTGAATATTTTGAATATTTATTTAATTTTTCAAATTAAAACTGAACTTAATTGACTGTGTTAACTATCCTTTTCCAGTCCTTTTATTATTTTATTGTAATTATTAATTATTTGCATGCAATTAAAAAATATTTTTAATGATGCTAAAGAAGTATAACTTCTCACGCGCGTACATAAGTTACACGCATCCATTTTTTTTTAACTTTGTTATAAATATAGAAAGGCATATAACTGATTATGCGCCTTATCTGTTTGGAATAAGTTTTACAATTAATGAAAATAATTAACTCTTATTTAAACTGAACTGGTTAACTGGTTGTGTTACTGACTGTACATTACTATAGTAATTCATGATTTCAGATTCAAGACAATTCGAATAGAAAGTGTTGCTTAGAAACATTATAACGGCAGTTTAATATGACATCATCTGCAATAATGATGTCGGTTGATACTTTTTTTATTCTCTATTGAGCATGAAAAAATAAAATGCTTTCAAATTTTGTTTTTAGTTTAAAGAATTAAGTTATAGTATATATATATATATATATAGTCTTAAAATATAAAAAGTAGTAACAAAATATAACATTTCAAGTCGAACATACCTTTCCTCTCTTCACCACGCCAAACTGTTCCCTACCGCCGGCATCTACAGCGCCAACTATAGCTGCGGACCGCGTCACAGAGTCTTTCCTACATTGCGTCGTTACCTTTGAGAAAATCATAAATATAGATATTAAAACTTTAGATTCAGATTTTCATTTCATCATCAACCATTTGATGTCCCCCACTACTGGGGTACTGGTGTTCCTTATCAATGAAGTATTGTTGAGCTGATTTTTAATATTATTATTCATGTAATTCAACAGTGCATTAAAGCTATCGTCTATTTTTGATCATCCCGTGGCGTCATTAACACCTTGGGAGTTTTTTAAAACCAGTTTAAACAGTTAAGTCCTTCGAGCAGGATCACAATTATATGAAAAAATCAAGTATGACACCGTAGACGATCTACTACAATCTCTGACAATAAATACTGAGTATTGAGAACGGACCCAATGCGAATTGTAAGACTAGAAGGCACATGTCCCACCGTCGACGATGAACGAGAATCGACTACTCGATTAAGATCATAAGAGAATCGAGCTCTACAGCTAGGAACTATAAGCGAGTTAGCGGGCAGCGGGTGTAGTTCCGATAGTCTTATCGATGGGCTATAAGCGAGTGAGCGAGTACAGTAGGCGATAACTCGCGCCACTCACTCGCGGTGCAGTCCTAAGCAAAATCATCATCACATCGCTGAGTCTTTGATAGATATTGTAGCTCAGCCAAAAACTAAACTAAAGAATGTTCTCGCCAGCAGTGTGAATAGTCAGCGATCAACTATTAATATATGCATCTCCTTCCTTTTCATCACCCAGTCTTAGCGTGTTATGTAAAGTTATATATAACTCAATACTACGCCGAGGGTGTAAAGATATAAAACAGTATTACGTTGCCAATTCATGCCATCAAGCAAATAATAATTTCCAAATTAGAAATAAAATATCAAATTTCGGTATACTAACTTTCATGTAACACTTCTTATGCGAGGCCAGCTTACATGTTTGACATATAAGCGAGCGTTCGATTGGCCACATGAAGAACGTCTTGCAAATTTCACACTCCGTAGGGATGTTTATCATCGACAGTATGAATGTGTGTCCTTTGTACTGAATGGGGTCGTCAACCTACAAAAATAAATTTATTGGATAAAACGTTTCGACATCTGCAAGGTTATCAAAACATTGTTAATTAGTTTTAGAAACTAGTGATGGGTCCCGGCTTCATAATATGATATTTTAAACTTATTAACGAGATTGCTCCCATGTAGCTTGTTTTTTGTGAGTCCCCGCCTTCTGTGCTGTTGCAAGAACTCACTTCCATCGTGATGGATAATGAAGTTTAAAGTTTATTGATAATCAGCCTATCGGAGAAAAAATAACCGGCTTTGAAAGCATTCACTCCCATCAAGATGGAATGACTAAAGTTCTTTGACTAAGACCATTTATGGAAAAATATGAACGGTTCATACCTTTCGCTTCTTGTCCTTTTTCCGTTTAGTTCTCGCCTTGTCCGTATCCAATTGACTCATAAACTCATCCATGAATCCTCGGAACGCGTTCACACCCATCGTAATAGAAAGAGTTGATCCTTCTCGCGCGCAAACCGTCTCCATCACGTGAAGAAAATTGCTTATTAGGTCCTTGTATTTGAGCGCGGAGCCTCGCGTTTCTACCACGCTATATGTAGCCACTAAGTTGTCTTTGAACTCACGTAGTGCGTGCTTAAATACCCTGTCCACCTGTAAAAAAAATATTTATGTTCTTTATAGATCTATAGTAGATAAGTGTTACAGACTTTATAACATTACGCTACGACCAATAGGAGCAATATATCAAAGAAAAATGTTGCAAAAAAGGGAAAAGATATTGCTTTTGAGAGCAGTCTTATTTCAGACTTCTATTTACGTTTTTGATTTGGGATAATTTCATCAATGACAAATATGGTGTCATTGCATTATACAGTCAAATGTATGTTTCTGTCTGTCTCATGGTATCGTATGGCGTGTGTGTAAATTTGGTGGAGTAATATAAGTTTGTATCCATGCTATAGAATAGACATTATAATGATCAGGATATTCACAACTTGCACTCAGAGAAGGTGATCAATACAATACTTACTTCAGATTGCTTCTTCTCATCTGACGACTCCATTTGGTATATTTTTTTAGTGATAAAGTGCTGCATCGCTTGCAACTCAGTGGCGTCCGATATGATCTTGTCGGTCCTGTCTATAAACTCGGACGTGCCGGTCAGATTGAAGTTCGAACTGACGGCGCCTTTCGTCGGATCTGACAATAAGTACTGAGAATCTTTGAGCATTATTCGTTTCCTGTTCTTGTGGCGGCCTCGGGAAACAGTGACGGGGCTAGTGCAAGGCATGGTTATTACGCCCTTGTTCTGGATGCATTTGGTGTGATAAAGCTGTTTGCAATCGATACACCGCTGGCCCTGCGTCACGAACGCATCGATCGCCTTGTGACAATACACGCACTTCTCGTCTTTTGCGAAACGCGTTCCTTTTCGAAACCTACGGAGGAAATGTATTTTTTTAATATAATACTTCCAAAAGGATTGGAAAGCAACTTGTAAGTAAAAAAACACTATCTTGAGCTAGGTGCAAGGACGTGTAACACCCGTATTTACAGGTGTACTTTGTGTAGTTAAAGACGATAGTCGCTTGTATGCAATAAAGCGTTTTAAATTTAATTTGTTTGCTAATCGTGGTGGACGATGTTAATAATTTAATTGCATAATGCGTTTATAAATGTTGATAAGATGTCATATCTGAGAAGGAGCATTCGATATGCGAGGTCTCGAACTCGTAATTCGAAAGTCTCGTTAAGCTGTTGGTCCTGGCTACACCTGTAGTGGTTAGCAATCCCCCAACCCAACAATCGGTACTGGTTCATAGCCCATTTACCAATTTTCAACCACAAGAAAGACCCCCGACAGCGGGGTAATTTATAGACTGATGATGTTGACTTACCTGTGCCCTGTGTGATACGGAATAGTCTATTGCAAGTCTGTCCTATATAGTCAGTGGATCTCGGGTCCGGGCCTCTGGGTTCCCCAGGCACGGGGTCACAGTTCGTCCACCGCAGGACTCCGCATGAAGAAATCCCTATCCTCTCTAGTAATGGCGACATAAGTAGGCTTACCAATGCCCAGCGATGCGGCACAGTCTTTTGCCAGTCTGTCCTATATAGTCAGTGGATCTTGGGTACGGGGTTCAGGGTTTCCCACTATCAGTGTGCTGATGATAATGGCTTACCTATGTCCAGCGATCCGGAATAGTCCATTGCCAGTCTGTTTTATATAGTCAGTGGATCTTGGGTCCGGAGCTCTGGGTTACCCCGGCGCAAGGTCGGAGTTCCTCCGTCGTAGGGCTCCGCATAAAGCGACATCATTATGCTGAGGATAATGACTTACCTATGCCCAGCGATCCGGAATAGTCCATTGCTAGTCTGTCGTATATAGTCAGTTGATCTTGGGTCAGGGGCCCTGGGTTCCCTAGGCGCGGGGTCTGAGTTTCTCCGTCGTAGGGCGCCGCATGACCGACATCAGTATGCTGATGATAAAGGCTTACCTATGCCCAGCGATCCGGAATAGTCCATTGCTAGTCTGTCGTATATAGTCAGTTGATCTTGGGTCAGGGGCCCTGGGTTCCCTAGGCGCGGGGTCTGAGTTTCTCCGTCGTAGGGCGCCGCATGAAGCGACATCAGTATGCTGATGATAAAGGCTTACCTATGCCCAGCGATCCGGAATAGTCCATTGTTAGTCTGTCCTATATAGTCAGTTGATCTTGGGTCCGGGGCCCTGGGTTCCCCAGGAGCGGGGTCTGAGTTTCTCCGTCGTAGGGCTCCGCATGAAGCGACCCCTATTCCCGGCCCCACGCCTGCTAAAGCCACCCCCGAACCCGCTAGCGTTGACCCCTCCAGCAGTGGCGACATCACTTCTGATGCCGCGCTGTTAAAGATACAACGCTCGACTGTAGATAACATAATTTTGATTGCAATAGTTACACAAAAATAATAATAGATGAACATATTATGAGCTAAACTGAAGATGGTGGGATGTTTTATGACAAGAGTTGGAGAGATTTAGACCCTTCTTCCTTACAGATCCAAAAAAATCTAAAATAAATTTTAATTCGTCAAATTATGGTGAACTATATAAGGAGTTCGATGAAGCAAGTGGTTAGCGCGTTCGGCGATCGTTAAATAATATCGCGAAGTTAATCAACTTTCGCAGTGGTCGGTTATTGGATGGGTGACCGAAAATTTACTATGTCGGGCTCTTTCGCGCTTCGAAAGGCACGTTAAGCCGTTGGTCCTGGCTGTATCGGCAGTTATTAGCACCCACCAAGGGACATTCATAGGCCGATGATGGTGATATCAGTATTGAGCATAATTTTTGCAAATAATGACAAAAATGACCTCCTCTGTCCCACAACCGTAGTGGGCCCGCCTGGTGGGTCATGGGTCAATCCCTTAAGAGTTACACATATAAGCGGACCGGCATATTCGGTTCGGCAGTATTTGTCGAACAACAAAGCCGACCCGAAGTAATTACTGAACTTGTTGTACCGAACAACTATCTACTATATAATTTACCGCCTAGCTGATTAATGTCGGTCCGCTTATGTGTATAGCCCTGCAGTGGGGACATTAATAGGCTACTGATGATGATGAATTATATGAATAAAATACGCTTCTATACGCATACAGTTTAATATCCAAATGCTCGTTGGTCTGGTGGTACTAGTTGGCTATCGGGGATCTGCGAGTGCTGTGCGGCACAACAATTAGACTATAGTGAACTACCTATACATATGAATAAAGTACGCATACCGTTTGATATCCAAATGCTCGTTGGTCTGGTGGTTCTCGTTGGTGGGACTGCGCAGTGGTACGGAGGCGTCCACGCTATCGGGGTCGGGGCGGAGCGCCCGGCGCGGCGACCTGCGCGTGCTGCGCGCCGGGGGCGAAGGCGCCGATGTCGCCGCCGTCGCCGTCGACACCGCCTCCACTGACCGCGCCGCCGTAGAACAAGCTATAATGACAACCATTTTATTATGAAATGAAAGGTGACTTCATGAATCATCTCTGAAGTCCTTTTTGAACTTGACGACTCTGCAGCTGCGTCCGTTATTTGCATTGCAGAGGCGATGGATTTTTGGTCATGTGATCAAAGATTAATCTGAGTGCATTGCTATTAATGAACGGGCCATCCAACCGTAGATTAATTTCTAACCACAAGAACCAAATACGAACTAACCTCACAACATCTTAGATAACCAGAATAATCTTTCTCGTCGTCAAAATACTCCGAGCAAACAGATTTACGTCGGACTAATCTGAGCGGAATTATCAAACAGTTCAGATTTACTCTCGATGTAATCAACGAAAGATTCAGAATAAAAAGATTGATCATATGCAATTAACGAACGCAGCTTGTAAATAATAATACAGGGAGAAAAAACAGCCTTTGCCGAGTTTCCTGCCGGTTCTGCTCAGTACAAGGTCTCCCGCCATAGATTTTCGAAATGATGGCATAGCTTCTAGACATTCGTGAATGCTTGTAACAGCCTTAACTGAATAAATTATTTTGATTATGATTACTTATTTTAAACTACTGCACTGAGTCTACGTTTCCACATAAGCGGGGTTTAAATTAAAACCATGACATTGCTCAAAATACACCCACAATATGTATAATGCAGCCTATGAGACTGCTCATTTCATAGGCTGCGTGTCATTTTATTTACTGCATCTATCTTAATACTAACTTTTACTTTACTCTACAAAATTTGCCGGGGACGAGAGCCCGCCGTCGAAAAAGATACGATAGCACAATTTTGTTTTGAACTACTATTTTCTTAGTAGCAATGCATGCATGCATTAGCTTAGTTATGAAAAGCAAAACTTGAGTGCCAGTGAAACATGAAATTTGCCAGGGGCTCGTCGTCGCCTCCAATGATCGCACTACAAATTGAAAAGGTAAAAAATTGGCAATTATTTACTGATAAGACTAAACCAGATGAAATATCTGATAAAAAATCGTATATCATAAAATTATAATATAACACACTCAAAATCTTAAAATCCACATCCCACTTACCGTAATAGTAGAATACTATTTTAACACATATATTGAAATACCCCATCGACATAAAAAGAAGCATTGCACACACCACATACGCGAATAACTTGTTGAAGTCGCACATTGAATATTTCACAGCGGACACGGACATCCTGTACTCTCAACATTTGACCACCGTTTAAGCATATCACCAGGATTAAAACGAGCCACGAAGACAATACAAACAACATTAACTAACAAAGGGATCAATTAGACACTAATCTCCAAACTTTAAATTAGCACCATGATTACTTTTTCTCGAGAAAAAATACAGTGCCATAAGTAATCTGTCCTATTTACATTGTCGTGGTTGGAGGTTTATTTGTAAACAATGCTGTATTTACGAATTGTTATCGAATCCGTTCGCGAATTTCGTCTTAACTTTTTGATAGCTTCTAGTTCTTTGTATTACAAAGATAATCATAGGAGTGAGCCGCACGCGAGTTTGCGTGTTAAGATGTGAATTATTTAAAATGAGTATACTTCAGTCGAATTCATATGAATGCTTTCGAAGATATAGTAATTCTTTAAATGAAACAAAGAATAGCTGTTGTTGTATGACATATTTTGGAAGGTATACCAGTATAAACAATAACTTCGTAACAGAAGTTCGAAGTGTGAACAGTAACTTACAATCAGTTTTTGCTAGTTTTTTAGTAATGACTGCATCATTAGTTAATTGAATTAACAAAGTACTTTTACAGAGAAGGCAGTAATTAACGCCTAATTATGTGTTATTAATGATTTATATCACGGATGGTAATATCTTGGTAGACAATTTTGTCTTGTATTTCAAAGACTATTCTTTGGTGCACATGTTATGCTCACACCGGCAGATTCTTGAGAACGTAGTAAACTTAACCAAGTTTATCAGAAAACTCGAGTATAAAATTTGGCTTGAAAAATAAGTTAGTAACTCAACGATATTAAAAACCCTCTAGATAAACCACGTGCGCTCAAAATTTGTCCCAATCAAGAAGTGTTTGAACTCCACTCCAGCAATTCTTGCTTCACAGTCACGGGCGACCCGTTGAAAAGTCAAAAAAGAAACTCCGTGAAAAAATACGAAACAATACTTACAGTACGTAGTGTCGTTTTTTCGACAGATATCTAATCAATGTTGGTCAATTTAACGTATTTGAAGCAAATCTTACTATAAATTGATTTAAAAGAAAATATTCGTGATATTCAAATGCATGGTTAGTTATATAGGCGTCTCTTTTTTCTCGCGCTTCGTGGGTACGAAGCAGGTGCCATATAGGGTGAAATTGAATGTTTTAATGAAACTTCGTGAGATTGTTGGGTTACGTGTATGCCTGATCTTTTTCCGATTTTTTTGAAGTATTTTTTTTCATGTATTTATTTTTAATTTGTGTATTTTTATGTCCTTTTCTCCTTTTGAGTAGTTATTCATTTTAAACAAGCATACTTACATATCCAGTGAAAAACAACTAATAAATAAGCATTTCAAAAAAACGGAAAAACAGCGCGGGTCAACGACCGACCGCGCCCGCCAGCCGTTGAGTGAATAGATACACAGAGCTCAGCTGACTCCTTTGATTCCACACAATACAATAAAATCGTCTTAGATGCCTTTATTGAAATAATAAGCACAAATGTCATCTTCTCTTAAGCAGAGAAAAACTTAAAAAGTTAATAATAATTTTGTCACGATTGGAAATAGGCAAATGTTAAACAAAAAGAAATACTTAGTGCAGTTCAATACTTGGGTCAGAATGAAATTTATAACCAGGTATTCAAAAGTATTTACGAAACCGATGTACCTTATTATTTTTTTTCACTATAACTTCCCGTATACACTTCCCGTATACAATTACCAAACCTACTTTCGCAAAGCCTCTGCCTTCTTGTAGCTCTGCTAAATATTCCGTGACACTAAAATAACAACACACCATATCCAACTTCTTATATTGAGGTCACAGAACAAGAACTAATCAAGGCATTATTTGTGTTCGGGTTGGAACTAATAAATGATAAACTGATACTGTAGTATAAAACTGTATATTTGGAGAAAGGACTAAAATTAACTATAAAATAATAATTGCTATGAGTACGCGTGACTTGATGAGTTGATGATTGCGAACTGATTTTGTGCAATAAAGTTAATTGTGAATAGGTAATTTAGGTCAACGAAATGTGCTGATGTGACGATGTACGCGCTTGCTCGTACATATTCCCGGGCGGGAAAAATGGAGGATAGTAGTTAGATGAAAGCGAAATAATAATATTGATAACAAGGTGATCTAATTTTTACTAAAGCTAAAATAAATCTATGTTAGTTTCCCGATGAATTAACAAGATGAAGGGCATAAAAATCGTTAAAAACTAAGATACTGTTTTATCGTCCGCAGTTACGAATACTGGTCGATGCACAATAGGGGACGACCCTACATCTTTCAATATCACTCGTTTACTCGCACTCGGTACGGTTGGCGGCGTACCTTTATTTTTCAAGGACACTCGCGCACAATTTTTGTTAAACTCACTTATCACACTATAATTATCACTGCACCGTGCACTGCTTGGGTTAGCCGGGCCGGCGGCGGCTGACGCCACCGGGGAAGGCGCAAGTGTGGGAGGCGCGCGGGCAGCAGGCGCCGGCGCCGCCGCCTGCCCGGGAGCTGCCGCTGCTGCCGACGAGACGCGCGCCCTGACGTGTCTCCATACTAGGGCTACTGCTATGACTCCCACTATGGCGAACAAAACATATATCGCCACGTAGTGGTGGACGTCGTGGTAGGAAACCCCTTCCACCAGGGGTTGCTCTCGCTTCATGGTGTCTATGTCGCCTTGAATCTTTTGGAGCTGATAAGATCGGTCATCGATTTCTGCTTGGTTAATATCAGTGGAGGATATTGGTAAGGAAATGTTTAGTAAGTAGTTTAACTGAGAAAATTCCGGTAACGTTACATCTGCTTTAATTTCAATTTTTCTTGTTTGTTGTCTTTCTGAGTATGTAAAGAAATCAGCTGATTTTATAATGCATGCTTGATGAACGTTAAAAAATCCAGCGTGACTCAATTGTAGCGGCGTAACTTGATCGTCGCATATCAGTTTTAAGTGGCATTGTTGACAACAAAAATAAAAGTAATTATTTGGCTTATTTAATTCAATCCATCGGTTTCTACAAGGCTTTGTTATTGTTTTACATATATTTGTGTACGGGATAACTTCACAAAAATTGTGGTCATTCTTGATAATGTAAATAGGCCTCTTGAAGTGGCATAAGGTAGTAAATGGGTTTTTTGGTGTACACAATCTTAAGTCATCGTCTTCTAATTTCATATATGAATCTTGTTTGAGATTGACGGCAACGTAACTGGATACTGATTGAGTTACAGTTTCGGTTTGATTTTTCGTCAGGTGGGGTACCGGAATGAGATGTGAAATCTCGTAGGTTTCTTCAGAGATAAGGGGAATCTTTATCTCAAAGATGATAAAATTTGTTGTGGCTCTAGCTTGTACTCTTAGTAAGTTATAAATTTCGGCTAAGTTGTCAGTTTTCTTGATAGGTTCCGCCATGTCCTTAGGAAGTTGCTCTGTGATGACGGCTAATTCTTTCCTCAATTGGAGAGGTGTAAGTAAATGAAAATTGAACTTTCCATTATATATATTTGTGATAGCGTCAAGTAAAGTTTGTTGTATATTTTTTAAGCTGAAGATAACGTTATTTGCTATCATAGCAGTCGTGATAAATTCGTTGGCTAGTGAAATGTTTTGCATTTCCGTTTGTACAACGTTAACTGATTTTTCTACAGAGTTAATTGATTTATTAGTTTATGTTGCTTATCTATCATGGTTTCAGTGCGCTTTAACAGGTTAAATTCGGCTTCCACCACCGAAGTTTGATTTTTCCAGAGGGAAGCCAAATGATTTTGATTCTCTCTGAT